AGCCACTGCAGCTACTAGGAAGCTACTGGAGCTACTAGGAAGCCACTGGAGCTACTAGGGAGCCACGGGAGCTACTAGGAAACCACTGGAGCTACTAGGGAGTCACTGGAGCTACTAGGGAGCCACTGGAGCTACTAGGGAGCTACTGGAGCTACTAGGGAGCCACGGGAGCTACTAGGGAGCCACTGGAGCTACTAGGGAGCTACTGGAGCTACTAGGAAGTCACTGGAGCTATTAGGGAGCCACTGGAGCTACTAGGAAGTCACTGGAGCTACTAGGGAGTCACTGGAGCTACTAGGGAGCCACTGGAGCTACTAGGGAGCTACTGGAGCTACTAGGGAGCCACTGGAGCTACTAGGGAGCCACTGGAGCTACTAGGGAGCCACTGGAGCTACTAGGAAGTCACTGGCGCTACTAGGGAGCCACTGGAGCTACTAGGGAGTCACTGGAGCTACTAGGAAGTCACTGGAGCTACTAGGGAGTCACTGGAGCTACTAGGGAGCCACTGGAGCTACTAGGGAGCCACTGGAGCTACTAGGACGCCACTGGAGCTACTAGGAAGTCACTGGAGCTACTAGGGAGTCACTGGAGCTACTAGGAAGTCACTGGAGCTACTAGGGAGTCACTGGAGCTACTAGGAAGTCACTGGAGCTACTAGAGGAAGTCACTGGAGCTACTAGGAAGTCACTGGAGCTACTAGGAAGCTACTGGCGCTACTAGGGAGCCACTGGAGCTACTAGGGAGTCACTGGAGCTACTAGGGAGTCACTGGAGCTACTAGGGAGCTACTGGAGCTACTAGGGAGTCACTGGAGCTACTAAGGAGCCACTGGAGCTACTAGGAAGCTACTGGAGCTACTAGGGAGTCACTGGAGCTACTAGGGAGCTACTGGAGCTACTAGGGAGTCACTGGAGCTACTAAGGAGCCACTGGTGCTACTAGGAAGCTACTGGAGCTACTAGGGAGTCACTGGAGCTATGGACTTTTACATCTAGATTGAAGTATTGCTTTAGAACTGTTTTTTGTGTTTCGTTTGTTGTCCTTACTCCACACCTCCGATTAGCACGGTTGGCTACTTACGGTGTGAAATAAGTTCAACATACATACATATTCCACCAGACTACCAATCGAATGGGGTGTCCCATCCAAGGGATTTGAAAATTAGTAGAGTCTCACACACACGCACGCAACTCCCTGTCGGTGCGTAGGGTGGAGAATTACGACAAAACAAAAACCCAGGGTGTAAACCACGCGGAGTTCATCCTCGTAACATTAACGACGAAGGTGGCCAGTAACCGTGTTTATAATTTTTAATTAAGTTCCTCCTAATTTAGGAGGCGCATGCAGAGATGTTCACACTGGGGAGGGGAACGCATTCCGAGTCGACGGTCATTTGTGAAGAACAAATTTGTGGAAGCGAAGGAGCCTCAAGGTGGTTACGTTGAAACCGCCGGTCTGGAACACAAGCGGATAATTGGAGAGGCACCGCAGCCAAATTCAACCCACCGCCGATGATATATATATTTTTCTACTTACACATGGCAAAATAAAACGTTGCCAACAATGGTCGTGTCGGGGAAACTTGACTACACTTCGTGGGGGTGCATCATTTTCGTAGCAACGTTTCGAAAGCTTCAAATGTTCTCAATAGTGTTTTTTTTTGCGTAAAACGGCAGAGCGAATGTGTTCACTCGCATGTAATACGGCAGCGTGAACATGGTTGTACAGCGTTCACTCGCATATAAAATTGTAGCGTGAGCGTGGTTTTAGAGCGTTAACTCGCATGTAAAACGGCAGCGTGAACATGGTTTTAGAGCGTTAACTCGCATGTAAAACGGCAGCGTGAACATGGTTTACAGCGTTCACTCGCATGTAATACGGCAGCGTGAACATGGTTTACAGCGTTAACTCGCATGTAAAACGGCAGTGTGAACATGGTTTACAGCATTCACTCGCATGTAATACGGCAGCGTGAACATGGTTTTAGAGCGTTAACTCGCATGTAAAACAGCAGCGTGAACATGGTTTACAGCGTTCACTCGCATGTAATACGGCAGCATGAACATGGTTTACAGCGTTCACTCGCATGTAATACGGCGGCGTGAACATGGTTTACAGCGTTCACTCGCATGTAAAATTGGAGCGTGAGCGTGGTTTTAGAGCGTTAACTCGCATGTAATACGGCGGCGTGAACATGGTTTACAGCGTTAACTCGGATGTAATACGGCGGCGTGAACATGGTTTACAGCGTTAACTCGCATGTAATACGGCAGAGTGAACATGGTTTTAGAGCGTTAACTCGCATGTAATACGGCAGAGTGAACATGGTTTTAGAGCGTTAACTCGCATGTAAAACGGCAGCGTGAACATGGTTTTAGAGCGTTAACTCGCATGTAATACGGCGGCGTGAACATGGCTTACAGCGTTAACTCGCATGTAAAACGGTAGCGTGAACATGGTTTACAGCGTTAACTCGCATGTAAATTTGTAGCGTGAGCGTGGTTTTAGAGCGTTAACTCGCATGGCAAACCGGGGAAACTGCTGCTAAACAAATTCCCGCTTTGCTGCTCCTTTTGAATCAACCCCAGAGTGAGGGCCTGGGCTACCCGGTGGGGCCTATGGGCCTTGCCTAAAAAAGCAAGCCCTGAAAAGACGCAGGAGAGAGGGCCAATGTTTGTTTACATCCGCACTTGTGTTCATATACATACATATATACACACATTTGTGTATAGAACGTTAGTGCGGTGGTTATTTAGAATGCACTTCTACGTGTTCACCGACGGTTGGCTACGCACGGTGCAAAAGAGGTTCAACATATACAACAGGTAATAGGTGCTCGCTAACAGCACTTGCCCCAGCAGTTGGCCAAATGGTGGATGCCGAAACGTTTTGTTTGCGTATATCAGGGTAAAAACAAGTCGTGCCTCTGCCTAATGGATGTTTTGTTCTGCCCCTTTTATAAGCCTCCTGTCCTGCTAAGGCTTGCATTTAGGCAAGCCCTTAGGCTCCACATGGTAAGCCGGGCCCTGGGTTCAGGGGTCAATTTGAATTGGTGGCCGTGTAGAACATGCAAACAAAACATGCCATTATTATCAGAGTATGTTTGTTTGCACGTTCATCACAACAAGTACTGTGTGCAGTACTTCATTCATTGAAAAATGATTCTATTTGGCGTTTGGAAATCTTAACACCTGTTTTATTGCCAGAAAGGGTAAAACACCTATTATTTGTTTTTCATACGTGTAGGCCTCTTCGTGCATTGTGGGTGTGTTGCGTAAAGCAAGTTGCAGACAAACTAGGTCAGTTTACACACCTCGTGTGAACCCCCAGCTGCCGAGAAACATCCTGGAGTAAGCAATATATCGATGTGGTGAGCAAAATTATCTCGAGCGACTATACACCAAATGACTGCACACGGTATTACTTAGACACCAATTTAACCATCGACAGGGAACACCGCTTCAAAATAGCCCTTCAAACAGACAACAGGGGAACCCCCATACATTATGGGATCCCCATAAAATAGGACTTGGCACAGCCCAAAGGCTTTGAAACAAGCCAACAACATCCTCTCTCTCTCCCTCCACCCGATAACAAATCTCACATCAGCTGACACAAAAAAAAGCAAGCTAAGATTAACGTGTTGGGATATTAATGATACGTGCAGAGCTGCGTGCGACAAGTTCGACAACAAAGCATCGTGGGCAGGGTTTTAATTTCTCAACTCTATTTTTTTTCCCGGGGCCGCTGTTGGACTGGAGTGAGGCGCATGGCTTTGCAGTAGCCACAGCCACAGCGAGATGCGTACTGGATGTGCCGGGTGCGGGAATATATTCCGGGTCGCCGACATGGGCAGGTCCCAGCTGAAATTCAGCCCTAATCGTGGGGCTTAAACATCACATCGGGGTTTCTTTGCCGAGATCCTTAGCAAAACCACACCACACAAGACAAAGATTCCGCGTATAGCCGTCTGTTGGAGCAAGTGCTGTTAGCGAGCACCTCTGAAGGCCTGAACGGCACACGAGGGGGTGAGTGCCCAGCACAACGCCCGGCCGCCTTTGTCTCCCCAGTGGCGATATTTACACATCGCACCAGGTACTCATTTGAGGCAGAGTCGACCTAGGTGAGGCCCAGAACCGGTTCCGATAATCGTCACTGGGTGTTGGCCGTGAGCGGGAATGGAACTCAGGTCGCCGGGTTCGTAGCGCAGCTCGCTAACCGGTACACGACCGCTCCCCACACACACACACACACAGCGACCGCCAGGCAGGGACACTTGAATAATAATATCGCTCTCAAGTACCCCAGGGGGTCTGTGCAATCAAAATACTTCCCATAGTTGAACAGCCACGCGAGGTTTCGATAACGACCACGCGTCGTGGAAACACGCGCGATTGTCGGTGGCGTTCCTTCCTTAGAGAGACACGTCTTGAAATAAGTGGAGGATTCCTCCTCGAAAACAGGCGACACCAAAGCACATTGAGCGTGCGCCAACGCGTGGCTTCTTGACGCGTCGATCACAGCTTTTGTGAACGTTCTCAAACTGAACAAAAAAGGTAAAAATTGCTCTTGCGCTCTGGAGCGAGTCTCTTAAGCCTGCGTACACTATTAACTGTTAACGTGATCGTGTCCTCGCAACCAGTTAGCAGGCTCGGCCAATTCATGGGATCGGAGATGGTCGGGGGCAGACATCTCTCTGGTTTTGTGGGTAAGACAACCCCCCCCCCCCCCCGTCTGCCACCTCAACCAAGAACCACGTGGCATTATTCACAAGCGAACGGATGGATGAGCAGTGAGGGGCGGATGTCCGACTCTGGTTGGCTGACGAGCTGCCCATTCTGTTTATCACAATGAACCGCTGTAACAAAGATGAAACTGAATTTTAATTAAAGCGCACAGATTGCGATGCTAAATGAAATGAAAATGACTGAAAAAAATAACTATTTTGCTGGATTACGGAGGGCGGCATCCGCATCGCTATCAGCCTTGGCAGGGCAACTTCTGTAACTTCATGCTTTATTTAAATTAAGAACATTACAATCAAGTTATGTACTTTCATGATTAATGCAAGTGGAATATAATTGTTTCAGCTTGCGTGTATATATATCAGGTATGTGCAACATGTAAAGACGTAATTGGTACTTGAATGGCATATTGGTAAATGTGAAAAGTCACGAGGACTGGGAGATTGAGAAACCTCTGGCCAATTTGATCTCAATCTTGGCACACGAAGGACCAGTAGTAAAGTGAACATCCCTATGGCAATCAATGTTTAAAACATGGATGTTTATTGGATGTAAATTTACGAAGACGTCTATTCCCAGGGAACTGAATGAGAAACACGTGGCACCCCCATGTGCAACCGTGCGAGTGACATTAACCACGAACAGAAGAAAAAATTCAACTAGCATACATATAGTTTTCAGCTGTTCCAAAACGAACATTTCATATATACGTTTGAAAGGCCAAACACAGCACAAGCTGCCAGGTTCCGATGAAAACGCAAGTAAAATAGCACGCGGTTCCTTAACGCTGTGCGTTCGAGAATGTGATGAGCCACATCAGCGGCGGTCGAACAGACCGAGCAGCACCCATTGCCGTGTTAGCCCTTGAGTGCTGCTGAATCTGTTTCGCGTCAAGCCTCCATCCGAGTGTGTTCCCGCTGCGATGGATTTGAATCTGGCCTTGACCGGCGGTAACACTGCTCATCCGTGCGTTGACCGCGCACGAGCTGAAACCCGCGCGTGGTGAAATGGGGTTATTCAGTCTCGTTAAGCGTCGCCACCGTTCACGTTGACTGTGCAAAGGATCCCGCTGCAGTTGTTTGGTTAAAACTTTAATTAGCGTGCACATATTGCGACAAGGAAATTCCCACAGGAACTGTCTTAGGCGACTTCTACAATTTCCACCTTGCGCGGTTTCCAAGGGGGAATTGTGTTACTTCCACAAATTCCCGCGTTTAAAAAGCCTTAATTTGTTCGGACGGGATTCTCACGGGGACTCTGCCATGGGGCATGTGTGCGAAACAACCGGGTTCTTTTGAAATTTCATTACACATCTAACTTCTCCCAGCAATCGGCTATGCTTATCTCGACTAATTATTGCCAAATGCAGCCCACCAGAATGGCGATTACGGCGAATTACGGCCCACTAGAATCGTCACTGAAAATCTCTGTCAGTGATCCAATTCCACCCCGATTACGGTGTGCTTAGCCAAACAAGGAAGGCCTGTGGGGTCTGGATAGCCGAGTGGAGGCCTGGGTTGGCCTTCACTAAGCTGTCAACTAGGCTATAACCTCTGCCCATGTGGCCGGGATTTACAGAGCTGCCATCGATATTGCCAAGGCTACATATACACAGTTTCCCCGTGTATACGTCAGGACACGTATTTTCTCCATGTATAGCCTGCCCTAGGCTATTCACGTGCCACAGGACCAGCTGGCTGGTACCAGGGTCGACACTGGCGGCCCAGACTGGGTGACATCGCAATGGAAATGTGTGGCTCTTCAACCCACCTTGTGTTGGGTCAAAGAGCCAGCACCCCTTAGCGCCGTGGGTGGAACTCTGGGCAAGGTGGACTAGTGGAATTATTGCTCGTGTAACATTTAGTTGTTACTGCATTCACTTTGCAGTGCCTAAAACATGTTTTGTTTGCAACACCCTTAAAGCGTGATTTTGCCCAATATAAAGTGCAAATGACCGAATTCAGAAATTTGCTTTGTGGAGCCACGTGGTGAGACCGTCACGTGTTAGCACCTGCAAACACGACCAACCGTGACAACCCCGAGGGACACGAACACAGCCTCTGAGCGGTACTGCCTCAATATCCCGATCAACACACCTGTGCTCCTACACCGTCTCTGCAAATGCATCGTTCAGCAGGGATCTACCTCGCACCTCGAGCCCGAATGGTGCAACCCCGCAAGGGTTCGTCGAGCACGCGAACGCCGGGCAAAGGGCGCTCGCGTGGATCCCTCGTCAACATCAAACCAAGAAACTCGGGGACAGAGATGCAAGCACGGCGAAGGGTTTCCGCCCCCCCCCCCGCCCCCGTCAGTAGTTCTGCTCTGTAACGAAGGAAGGCGCAGCTCGACGGCTCCCAGCATCGCACATCTCTCAACTTTATCCCCACCCTGCCGCCGGAGGCAACAGAGACCATCCCGCACACAGGTGCACGTTGCTGCCTGGCATCGAAAACAATGACGTCTCGAGGGAGAACGACGTGACGCGCAACGCCATCGAAGAAGACAAACACGACGGACGCTGGATGCCGGACGGCCTTTTTTTTCAGAGGGGGCGCCGCGCCAACCCACCCACCCACCACCGCCCCCCCCCCTCCCCCGTGGGGTGATTTTGCGACATTTTTAAATTTGTGGGAACGTCCACGGTTAATCCTTGCCACCACGCGGTGAAGTGGCGGCGCAGTCGGCATTTGGCACGAGCAGCACTCACTGCAGGCGGTGGGTGGCTGTGCCGAAAAGTTTAAAATATTTCATTGCCCGTACAAGCCAAGACGCAGTTTACACATTTATATCTTCCACTATATGCATATCGCCAACTGTAGCCGTTTCTACCAATTGGAAGTTTTTGAACGCACGGTTTCCCCGTGCACAGGTTGCCGTTGGCCCGGTGAGTTGCATTCCCTAACGGATCTGGTTTCATGGGTCAACAAACACTTTTGTAACTGCCACATTAAAAATACTGAAAGGGTGCCCTGTCCTCATGCAATACTGTTCTACACCCCCTCCCTCCCGCAAAAGGGCAGCACCTTAAATAAAACTGTTACTGTGCAAGCTCACAACCTTCGGCATACATTAATATTTCATTTAGAACGTGGCTTTCTTGGCGAATTCGGACAGCTCCTCAGTCTTACTCTGGGGCCGGTTCATCGGGTCGCCCCACGCTGAAAATCAGTCCACCCCTGTCCTGGGTCAGGCTGCCCAACTGCAGTTCCGGTTTGTGTGTTGTTTTTAATGTCTCTGTGTCGTGCTTGCGTCTTTGTGTCTCCCGAGTGCGGAACCGCTGAACGCAGCCAACAACTCGGATCTTCGACGGCTTCCTCTGCCCAATTCGGCAAATGCGGGGTTCGGCAAAGAGCGCAGAAGAGTAGCGAGCAGTAAAGGACGACATTGCACAAATTCCGTGCCGATTTTTCCAGTTCCGAGGAGCGGCGGAGAGAGTCCGCTCGCGAATCTGAGTGGCTGACGCGCAAGAGCGCACACGAGCGCACACATTTACTTCGGTCACATCCCAAGTTTCGGAAAATTCAAAGCACGCGAAAATATTTCGGCGGGTAGAGGGGCATCGTTGGCGTGGCGTGAGTCAAAACGGCTCTCGTCACAGGTCTGAGGGCAAAGCGCTGCTCCTGCCACTCTTCCGTTCGTAATTGACGAGCCGCTGACCAACGAGATACCTGTTTGGAGAAAAGAAATAAAAGTGAGTGACGAGACACTGGCTGGAGACGACCTTAAACTGAAGAGGGAAAGAGAGTGGCAGCCAACCTGTATGTATCGCGTTGCAAAGTCCTAAACGTTACGGTGCAATTTAAGAGAGGATATCAAGCTCATGCATGTTAAACTTGACGAATGTTTTAACGTCAATCGAGAAATCAAACTTCGTTACTTTAAATATAGCAAAAGAGGTAATGTTACATTTCAATAAAGCCACCAGTATGTATGAAACGTATGTTGAACTTCTTTCGCACCGTACAACAGCCAACCGTGCTAATCGATTGGCTACGTACGAGGTGCAGTAATCGCTAATCAGTGACCAATTACTTTTCAAAAGTAACCCAACACTTTAAAGTACTCATTCTTTATTGGGAGAATGGTTAGGGTTAGGGAGTGAAGCACATCACCTCTGCAGTCCATTAGTCCAAGAGCGATCGCAATCCTCAACACGGACTGGGTATCTCTAGATGCACTTCACTGGAGTCCGTGACACCCATTGGCCTAATATTCATCACAACGCCCAAAGCACGGCCGAGGCGTTGTGTCTACAATGCACGCAGCGCCGAGGTTTGTTCACTGCCCATTGGTCGCGACGGCGATCGTGACAACTCACTTGTCGTTCTTGATGTGCTCGTAGAGACGGCGGAACTGCCGCAGCTGAGCTCCCAGCACGCCGAGCACCAGGCAGCCTCCGAGCAGGCACGGGTACACGCGCCGCTCCGCCAGCGTCTGTGTCTCGGCTGACAGGCCTGCAGGGGACGCGCGGCAGGGGAGGTGGGGCAGCCGAGGGCGGGGCAGGGGACGCGCGGCAGGGGAGGTGGGGCAGCCGAGGGCGGGGTAGGGGAGGTGGGGTGCAAACATCAAAGATGCCGTGGGGTTAAACGATGGCAAGGAAGAGCAAGGCTTACACGGAGAGTGGGAAGACGTAATCGGATTGCAGAATCACTCGCAAATGAGCCCCACAGGCTCCAGATGTAGCCACTAGGAACGTGATGAAATTATTTAAAAAATTATCCTTACGCCTACAATACATCCAATCCTGTGCTACAGAAACTGATCATTTTCGTTTCATGCACGTTCTAGGCAACCGTTTCCTTTGACAAACGCTTGGAATGGGGCAGGACAAGAGAGATCGGAAACAAGATGGAACGAGTGGGAACAGAAGAGGATATAGGCAGTGCAAACAGGCGTTACGATTTCAAAGACAGCAAAGACGAGCCAGACAGTACAGAAGGCCACGGAGTACTTATGAGCCTGTAACCATGAGAAAGACGATACAAACAAGACAAATAAAGCATCCATCCTCGAACTGACTCGTGACACTGAATCGTGACCAATTCATTGCATTGCAGTGGCGGTGAATCAAGACGTTCCTCTACGAGCCACCACCACCCCTCCCCCGTGACGACGCGAGAGCCCGGCCGCCACTCCCTCACCGAGCAGTGGCACGAGCCCAAAGGAGACGGCGTAGGGCACGCAGAGGGCGAGCAGCAGGGCGGCCGTCACGGGGCCCGTCAGCTCCAGCAGCAGCACGCGCATGTCCAGGTTGCGCAGGCCGTTGGCGTACACCTGCGTGGGGCCCACGCGCGCGCGCAGGGGGGCGGCCGGTGTGCACACGGGGCGGTCAGGGCCTCGCCCATCGAGGTGGCGGGGGCAGTCAACAGGAACCCGCCGGGCAACAACAGGGACTGGCGTGCACGACAACGCAAGCAGCATACTGCCGCGGTGCGGTGGGCGAGCTCACTCGCGCAACTAGTCACCCACCCACTCACTCATTACACACAGCAGCATACTGCAACAGTGCAGTGGCTAGCTCACTCACCCAACCAGTCACTCACTCACTCATTACACACAACAGCATACTGCCACAGTGCAGTGGCTAGCTCACTCACCCAACCAGTCACCCACTCACTCACTACACACAGCAGCACACTGCCACAGTGCAGTGGCTAGCTCACTCACCCAACCAGTCACCCACCCACTCACTCATTACACACAGCAGCATACTGGCACGGTGCAGTGGCTAGCTCACTCACCCAACCAGTCACTCACTCACTCATTACACACAACAGCATACTGCCACAGTGCAGTGGCTAGCTCACTCACCCAACTAGTCACCCACTCACCCACTCATTACACACAGCAGCATACTGCCACGGTGCAGTGGCTAGCTCACTCACCCAACCAGTCACCCACTCACTCATTACACACAGCAGCATACTGGCACAGTGCAGTGGCGAGCTCACTCACCCAACCAGTCACCCACTCACTCACTACACACAGCAGCACACTGCCACAGTGCAGTGGCTAGCTCACTCACCCAACTAGTCACCCACTCACTCATCACACACAGCAGCATACTGGCACGGTGCAGTGGCTAGCTCACTCACCCAACCAGTCACTCACTCACTCATTACACACAACAGCATACTGCCACAGTGCAGTGGCGAGCTCACTCACCCAACCAGTCACCCACCCACTCACTCATTACACACAGCAGCATACTGCCACGGTGCAGTGGCTAGTTCACCCAACAAGGCTTATGTGGATATTCATAGCGGCCAACTATTCTCAACGCCTGTTGATTATAAATTTAGAGGGAAAAGTCCGGAGGAGCCAGAGAAAAACTCGCGCAACCACGGACAGAAAACTTGAAAAACTCCCAAATATGCAGCAGCAGGCGCCAGGCGATGGATTGAACCCACGACCTCCTGTATACGAGGTAAGGCAGTTCACATCTCGATGCCATAGCGCCCCTGGAATGATTGAAAATTCACTGTGTAACAAAATAATATGGGTTTTTTTTTTGTTCCTGGGTACTAAGTGTCATTTTCTAATTGCTTATGCCTCAAAAGTACAGAAAATGGCTATTATTCCCCACCAACTTTGCTTTTGTGACCAGGACAGTGATATTTTGAAATTTACCTATTTTCAATGAGAAAACGTGGTGTACATGTGTTATTCCTTCGCATAAAGTTCTGAAAATTCACTGTGTAACAACATAATATGGCATACGCAATTAGAAAATAACACTTACTACTCAGGAACAAAAATCGTGTTACATAGTGAAATAATTAATAATTGTCAATCATTCCAGACAAGGTGACTTTGGGCAAAGAGGCAGACAAGGCGACCGTGCGGTACTTGCTGAACGAAGGTGCCATTACCTGCTCTATCGCAGCCTTGAGCCGCCACTGGGGGCCCATGAGTGTGATGGCGGCGACGATCTTCGTGTGCAGCACTCCGAGCGCCCAGTCCTGCGCGAAACACAAAGCATCATCCATAAGAGGGGTTTGTGTTAGATCGCGTAAATATGAACGTGTCGTCAAACCTGCCGCCACCACCCGACACGGCCAATTAGTAAGGGTTGTCACGTAAACAAAACACGCCAATTCGATACTAGCATAGCACACCGGTTGTGTGTTGGAGAGTTAACCCACGACATCTACAATTCGAGCATTACGTTTCCAGAGGAATCATAACCAGCATCATCAGGTGACAGCCTACATGTTAAACAAAGCATCATCATTACACAAAGCATCATCCATCATCACCGTCATGACAATCACGGACCTATCTACTGCTACATGAAGGCCTCACCAAGTCACCGTCACGTCTGGTGGTCTCCCGATGTAAAAATCCACCTAGCGCCTGCTGACGAGCCAATTTCATCACTCCATCTCCGCAGTGGACGTGCCGTCGGGCACGTTGCCTCAATGGAGGTAACACTATCATCAACGTCACTTTTAATACGGCCTGGCCAACACTAAACGCGGGGCGATGTTCCCGGCGATGAGAATGACGAGCGTGTCCAGAACCGGGAATAGACTCATCATGAAATCTGTGGCTGGCCAAAGTTTTTGCTTCCAAGTAAAACGAAAGTAAAAACGTCAACACGAGGAATTGCTGTGTCTGAGCATGTGGCGCACACGCCCGTAATCCACCACTGTGGAGGCGAGGAGTTGGTGGAGCATCGCACAAGCGCTGCCGAACTCGCTTCCTGTGGGCGTCGACGAGGTAGCCGTACCCTGGCTCGCCAGGAGCGGGATCAAGTGTTTCCCTCTCACGGCGCTCATGTATTTTATCCGGATTCTTACAAAATGTAAAAACACTCATTAATTGTCCGATAACACCGTTATATAGAGAGGACCACAGAGCTGGGGCAAACTGTTGGCGCCGGCTCAGCACGTGGCTACTGCCGCTGCCTTGCTTACTGGTCTGTGGTTCGTCCACGCGCCTACCAAGTCAGTCGTCCTTCTCTCTCTTCTCGAGCAGTGAGCCATTGCTGTGCGGCGCGAGTCGAACTGCAACGTTACAACGCGCTCGCGGGTGCGACCGTCTCACGAGGGCCAAGGGGGCACGTGCCTGCAGGGGAAAGAAGAGCGGCGTCTGGTGCAGTGGCACGCGGAGGGGCACCACGACCACCAGCTCGAAGAGCAGCCCGACCAGCAGGGGCACGACGCCCGCCAGCAGGAACGCCGCCAGCAGGGTCTTCAGAACCTGCCACAGACGCCGCCCGCACGCGGTCCGCGTCATGAGCAGAATCAGGAATCACTAGCTGTAACGCTAGCACCATTGTCAACACCAGCATCACCAGCTGTAACGCTAGCACCATTGTCAACACCAGCACTAGCTGTAACGCTAGCACCATTGTCAACACCAGCGTCACCAGCTGTAACACCAGCACCGGTGTCAACACCAGCACCAGCGTCACCAGCTGTAACACCAGCACCGGTGTCAACACCAGCACCAGCGTCACCAGCTGTAACACCAGCACCAATGTCAACACCAGCAGCAGCATCACCAGCTGTAACACCAGCACCAGCGTCACCAGCTGTAACGCCAGCACCGGTGTCAACACCAGCACCAGCGTCACCAGCTGTAACGCTAGCACCAATGTCAACACCAGCACCAGCGTCACCAGCTGTAACACCAGCACCGGTGTCAACACCAGCACCAGCGTCACCAGCTGTAAGGCCAGCACCAATGTCAACACCAGCACCAGCGTCACCAGCTGTAACGCGAGCACCAATGTCAACACCAGCACCAGCGTCACCAGCTGTAAGGCCAGCACCGGTCAACACCAGCACCAGCGTCACCAGCTGTAACGCTAGCACCAATGTCAACACCAGCACCAGCGTCACCAGCTGTATGGCCAGCACCGGTCAACACCCGCACCAGCGTCACCAGCTGTAACACCAGCACCAATGTCAACACCAGCATCACCAGCTGTAACACCAGCACCAATGTCAACACCAGCACCAGCTACACGAACTGCAACATGAGCACCAGCGTCAACACCTGCGCCAATGTCAGCATCAACGGCAGATTCAGCATCGACCTCGTCTTGCAGTCAGCATTTATTTACACGTTGTAAAATGATTGATCTTCAGCAACGCGGTAAAATAAAAATCGTCGGTTTCATTTCCAGGAAGTCCTCGCCACAAATCCGCTCGCTTGATGTCGCGGCGCCTCCCCCCCCACCACCACTCACCATGAGCGTGCGCTCCTTGAGGCGCTGCAGCAGCACGCGCCGGCCCTGCGGGGCCCACGATGCCAGCACGGTGGCGCCGCGCGCCGCCAGCCAGCACGCGTACAGCCCGCACGCTGCCGTGTACAGCTCGTGCAGCTTCAGCCCGCCCGCCCACATGCTCATGATGTAACGGCCTGCCAACACTGCAGCACGCGCATGGGACACACAAAGGCAACAGTGACGGATGGAGCAAATGCTGTTAAGCGAGCACCTACGAAGGCCGGCACGGCTTGCGAGGGAGGGCCTGGTGCGGTTTCTAACACCACCAGAGACCGCCTCTGGTGGTGCCCACTACGCCAGGTTACCCATATTTTGTGGCGTCAACCCAGCGAAGGACCAAGATGGGTGCGTTCTATAGGTGGTACTGGCACTATGCATATTTAGCAAATCTTGCCTGGGATTGTTGTGATCGTGACCGCAGTGCAATTAACCACATTGGCAATGCCAATACGACACGCACGTGAACGAGTGACCGAGCGCGCATGCTACACCATAATCGTGAAATGATGCGCTTGTGTTAAATTCAACACATGTCCGACACATGGCTGTAAATCTTGGACACTCTTCAACAAGTGATTAGAAGAGAACAGGCTTCGGAGATGCTGTGAATTCCATACGTTCCCATCGTACACATGGGGCAATTCACGTATGTTGAACTTCCTTTGCACCGTACGTAGCCAATCGTGCTAATCGGAGGTGCGTGGAAAGGACGACAAACTAAACACAAAAAGCAGTTCTATGGAAATTACTTTTCAATCTAGGGGACTAAAAGATGGGGGTAAAGGAAAAAAGTCCAAGTCAAGTGAATTTTAATTTTGTTCACACACGTGGTACTTTTCTGGCACAAATCCCCTCCCCGTCCTACGTTTCCCTTCGCTCCATCATTCCAGCTTCGGTGGCGGTCAGCAACACAGCGAAGAGGCGTGCACGACGCTGCCGCCGCCGCCGCAGGACTCACCTGGCACGACCAGGCACGTGAGGCTGGACGACAGCAGCGTCAGGCAGATGCAGCCAATGAGCAGGAAGATCTGCAGCGCAACACGGCACAAAAGTACTTGTGATACATTCTGCGTCTTAATTATGGAACATATTGCCGTCCTATCCCCGCACCTCCGATTAGCGCGGTTGGCTACGCACGGTGCGAAAGAAGTTAAACATTTGTACATACACGCATATTTGAGGTTCTACCGACTGCCATCATCGAGCTCATCAGAGTAAAACAGAGTTGAAAGTTGTAGCCCTCTCGCCCTTTGTTAATCCACCACTGGATGAGGGCCTCCCCACGCCATGCGGTTCGTGTTCGGGCTAGGTGGCGAGATGTTAACTACCTCGCTTGGTGTGCAGGAGGTCATGCGTTTGATTCCGACCCTGACACCTGTGTATTTGGAAGTTGTGTTTCTCTCTCACCCGTGGATTTTTCTCCGGGTCCTCCGGTTTTTCCCCTCCACATTTAGAATTAACGTCACGCGTTTAGAGCATTCGGCTGAATTACATTTCCACGCGACGATAGGCCACTTCGTTGAGCTAACATTGGTGATAGCCAGGTCGCTTAATGAAAAAGAGCAATATAGCTCAGTGGGTATTACCTGGTCAAATACAAATAGTTTAGTTTTAAGTCTAACAACATTTTCCCTACGCTTTTGAATGAGCGGTTGCATGATTGGTTGGGCGAGTGAGCGGTTGCGAGAATAATTGGCAGAGTGGCCATTCGCAGAGTGGCCATTAACCTTTAAATAAAATAGCTTAGTTTAATGAGCTAGTTTATTTCAGGCCACAGGCTTGCGGATTAACGAGAGCGTCCGTGCAGTGACCCCGCTGCCATTCCACCGCAGGGCTACAGCCGGCGCAGCGCTGTCACAAGCGCAGAGCAGCGGCAACGCACACGCAGGGTGAAGTGCAGGGGCCGCGTGTACGGCTGGAACTCCGTCGGGCCGCCCTGCTGCAGCATGGCCTGGTGCGCCGCGTGCAGCCCCTCCACTATGGGGACGGCAATCCCATTGCGCCCGGCAGCAAGGAGGGGCGGCAGCAGCTCCTCCTCCGCCACCTCCTCCTCGTCGTCGTCTTCATCGTCGTCATCGTCGTCCTCTTCTTCCTCCTCGCCGTCGTCATCGTCCTCCTCCTCTTCCTCCTCGCGCGCGTTCTCGGCGTTGTTTTCGTTCTCTTCGTCCTGGTCTCCGAGGAGGTAGGAGTGAAGGTCCCTGTGGGTATTGGGGACAAGCGGAGTCAATTTTATTGCAACTCGACGCGAGCCCGGTATGTAGCACCGATCACAGAACCAGAAGGGGGAGGAGGGTGGGGGCATAAATCCCGCAAGGAAAAGCCCGAGATCGACAAAGCCAGACTTGTTGAAGAGGGGCAGATTGGGCTCACTCCCCTACCCAGGTGGGGAGCCCCTAGCAGAGAAGCGAAAGTTTATATGGGGGGGGGGGGCCTGGGGGAAGGTAAGGGAGAAGATAATGAACATAAAAGGGAAGAAGGGGGAGAATTAACAAATCTGGTTTGAACACCACGTGACAAACACTCCTTTGCAGCTCTGTGTGCAGTGCAGTACAGTGTGTGCTGTGCAGTGCAATGTGTGTGCTGTGTGTACTGCGTGTGCTCTGTACCGTGTATGCTGTGCAGTACAATGTGTGTGCTGTGTGTACTGCGTGTGCTCTGTACCGTGTGTGCTGTGCAGTGCAATGTGTGTGCTGTGTGTACTGCGTGTGCTCTGTACCGTGTGTGCTGTACAGTGCAATGTGTGTGCTGTGTGTACTGCACGTGCTCTGTACCGTGTGTGCTGTGCAGTGCAATGTTTGTGCTGTGTGTACTGCACGTGCTCTGTACCGTGCGTGTTGTGCAGTGCAATGTGTGTGCTGTGTGTACTGCGTTCGCTCTGTACCGTGTGTGTTGTGCAGTGCAATGTGTGTGCTGTGTGTACTGCACGTGCTCTGTACCATGTGTGCTGGGCAGTGCAACGTGTGTGCTGGGTGTACTGAGTGCACTCTGTACCGTGTGTGTTGTGCAGTGCAATGTGTGTGCTGTGTGTACTGCACGTGCTCTGTACCGTGCGTGTTGTGCAGTGCAATGTGTGTGCTGTGTGTACTGCGTTCGCTCTGTACCGTGTGTGTTGTGCAGTGCAATGTGTGTACTGTGTGTACTGCACGTGCTCTGTACCGTGCGTGTTGTGCAGTGCAATGTGTGTGCTCTGTACCATGTGTGCTGTGCAGTGCAATGTGTTTGCTGGGTGTACTGAGTGCACTCTGTACCGTGTGTGTTGTGCAGTGTGTGTTGTGTGCTGTGTGTACTGCGTGCACTCTGTGTGTGCCTTGTGTGCTGGGCAGTGCAACGTGTGTGCTGTGTGTACTGCGTACGTTGTGTGCCGTGTACACTCACAGCAAGTATGCGGCGGTGCGCGTCCACGCTCGGAGAAGCCCCTTGAGCCAGTGGCGCGTGTGGCCCTGCTCCAGCAGCGCCGGCAGCACCACCTGCAGCAGCAGTAGCTCCAGCGACAGCTCGCTCACAGGGGCGTCACTGGACATGCACGCACACGCACGCACGTGAACCACACACACACATATAAATACACGAGCACAACAACCGTCATTCACCACTAAGTGGTGGTGGCGACGTCACCGCGGCGCTTGTGCCACGCTAGGTGCACTTTGAGGCCACGTGAAGTGTCGAAGGCCCGCTGGCAGGTCACTGAACAGACCCAGGTGCCATGGGTTGACCGACTGAGATGACTTGAAGATGCACCACCTGTGCTCCCCACTGTGCCAATTTCTGCGTTTTAGCCGCCCGGCGTTGTAAGCGTCACTCCTCTGCCCTCCGTTGTTGCGACTGCCTCACACGAGCACACACAAACATGCACACACAGTAACCACAACTTTACACAAACCACAAACAAACACACACACGAGCAAATAGAACTAACTAAGCTGGAAGGTGGCTGTGAGGATTTGGTGAACCAGCTACTTTTTACGAGACAAACTCTTGTCCTCATGTCTGCATTTCACAACTACTTGTCATCTTCAGTCTTTCCCTCGCACCCTCGCGGTCACCCGTCAAATTAACTTGTAACGCACGTATGTACGTTGAACTTCTTTCGCACCGTACATAGCCAACGCCGTGCCAATCGGAGGTGCAGTTCACGCGTACTTCCCCGGCGTTACCTGTACAGCGTGACGTTGTACGGCAGGAAGCTCGGCAGGGTCCCCTTTATGATGCGGATGGGCAGCCACAGCATGAGCACGACGATGGAGCCGAACACAACCTAAGTGCGGGAGCAGCACGAGAGAGACACACACACGAGCCGACACGTTGCGTCCCCGCGACAATCCCGCGGCAAGTCACGCCGTCGCGATCCCACAACTCCTGTGCGGCCGCGCACCCTGGCGGTCGCATCACGCCGCCTCGGTTTTGCGGTGAGCGAGCGAGCGTGAAGGTGTTGCAACTGCACCGGGGTTCACGATGAAGTAGACGGTCGGGGGGAGGATGGAATAAAAACTATAAACTATTTTTTTTTTTAACCAGGTAAGGCCCACTGAGCTATATAGCTCTTTTTCAGAAGCGACCAGGCCACAAATAAGTGGCTTATCACGTGGAAATATACAGCAGCCAAATACTCGAAACGCACATTGATTTTAAATGTGGAGGGAAAAACCAGAGGACCCGGAGAAAAATGAATGCGACCACGGGAAGAGGGACATGCAGACTTCAAATATACAGCAGGCATAAGGGTCGGGATCGAACAAACGACCTGCTGTATACGAGGCGAGGAAGTAGTTAACATCGCACCACCGGGGAGGCAGGTGGCCCCATTTGATTTTGTCGCACCAGGGCCAGTGCCAACCACGTTACGACACCGCGCTGCCGACGCAGGCGCCACTGACCGTGGACAGCAGGAAGCGGCGAGCGTGCCGGAAGAGCGGCAGGTGGATCATCTCCTGCACGGGATTGAAGTCCGGGTCGTTGATGTTGCGCAGGAACCACAGCACGCCCGGCCGCAGCACCTGCGAGAGGCGGGCGGTGAGAGGGACGCGGCGACGGGGTCACAGGGCGCAGCCGACATGGTGACGTCACGAGGTCCACCGAACGACCGTCCGCCGCATCCGCACCGTCGCCACGGGACACCTTCCCCGCTTCAGCAACCAGCACTGACCAACTGCGGTGAAGTATGATCAAACAACCCCCCACAACCAACACGGCGCGGCGAGGCCTTCACCTAGCAGTGGATTGACAAAGGAGTGAAATTTGACAAAATCGAGATCAAACATTTCCCAAACCGGTGCAAACATTCCTCCACGTGGCGCTACGGTCCCCAACACAGCCGTCGCACACCCCCCATCCCACCACACCTCCGATTGGCATGGTTGGCCACGTACGGCGCGAAATAAGTTCAACATACATACATACATAAAATACTGTGGCAGGGCCCTCCCTTCCCTCTAAACTCACGAGTCCCACGCAACCGCCTCCTCCCCGCACCTCTCGCAGCAGCAAGACGAACGAGGCGAAGTAGAAGACGTAGACCATGCCGACGAGCCAGTGCAGGAACATCGTTGTTCCGGGCGCAGACTGGAAGCTGGCCTCGCGATCCTTCATGGTGGCGTCGAACATCTCCTGAAAAGGCGCAGAGTGGCGGTAGATCGGAATCAGAATCTTTATTTAACACTGCAGGAGGAATCCGATGAGCTATGAAGCTGTTTTCAAGCGATGTCCAGTGTGGGGGCGGGTCGGCAAGCTCCAGCGGCAAACCATACAAAAACACACGATAGGAGTGCAAAATAGAGAAAATTAGTAGCAAGTCACGAAATATAAATAAGCAATAAATACTTCAATATAAGTCCGATTTATCAAGCTTGGGCAAGGAAGCAAAAACAGCAAAACAGTCCCAGACCACACCAAGGCAACACACAGCAGTAGTACCTCAATAAAATGGCACATTAACACTGAACTATCGACACACAGGTAATGATCGGATGCAGTCACAAGGCTGACAGCATTGTACACGCGATGCGATGAGCACATGGCAAAGCCGTGCTGGCTCGCCAGAGCCCGAGCATGGCCCGGACGCGCAAGTGGAAACGAGGCATGAGAGGGCGTGGTCCGACTCTGGGACAAAGTTGTGACGTCACAGGGTTAGAGCACCGTGATGTCACACACAGATGACTTGAGCGCGCTAAAATTAAAAGCACGATGTGTCCAGGTCAAAGATATCCCCGACTTCGTGCCTGATTAGTGCACCTAAAATGCTTGCAGTGACAGATACTGTTGGCAGGACATCTCGCAGCGTTAGGCCTCAGGCCTTGGGTCATATAAACTGAAGTTGTGGGTTGGATGCGGCCCACAAGCCTCTCTCCATCCCTGCTCCAACACCTCATTTACACGGCACGCTAAATTAGTGCTTCTCAAACTTTTTTGGCGACTGTATCCCTTGAATTTTGTTTCAACCGAGTACCCCCATGCCTGACCCAACATGGTTCTGAGAAATAATAGTATGACTAATCAACATCAATATTGCAACCAATTGTCCATTTTGTGAGGTATCCTAACCAGCTAAGGAACTGCAAGCGAATAAAAAAATCAACGGACGCTCTGCGTGACGTAACGTGTTCATGCTCACTGGTTACTCTTGGTAACCGCGTAGTTTATGATCAATGAGTTTAGAAAGGTATTTTATATCTTTCTAGGTTACCATATGGATTAAAATGTTATCATAGCTATTTTATATTGGCAGACTCACACGTGATTATTCACAAATGACTCTCACGAATGACATCATTTCACACATTTATAAATGACCTCACGTACCCCCCCGATTGAGAACCACTGCTTCGTCCCCACAGTTTCCGAAGTGGAACCGTGACGTTGCGAGCGAGCCAGACCCGTACCCCTAGACCAAGCTTGTAATACCCCGAGATTTCCACTTGCACATCTGAGCCGAGCCAGCAAGGGGCCAGCCAGGCACGGATAATTTTCCGACGGCATGTTACCGAGCAGAGCCGAAACCGAGCCGCGCTCCGCTGGCTCCACAAGACATTTGAATCTCGCTGTGGTGTCAAGACAAGGTGGCGAGATGTTAACTACCTCGTCTGGTATGCAGGAGGTCGTGGGTTCGATCCCAATCCTGACGCCTGTATATTTTGACTTTGCGTGTTTCTCTCTCTCTGTGGGCATGTTAATTTTTTTACGAGTATTCCGGTTTTTCCCTACCGATTTCGAATCATCACGTGTTTAGAGTATTTGGCTACTGCTGTAACGTCCCACGTGATAAGCCACTTCGCTGAGCTATCATTTGTGGCCAGGTCGCTTCTGAAAAAGAGATAGACAGCAGCTCAGTGGGCCTTACCTCGCAAAATAAAAACATAGTTTCTAGTTAAGTTTAAGCCGTGCTAGAAGCGGGGCTAATGGTGTGTTCAATACGTGTGACATGAGTCAATACGACCGCCCCCTCCTGACCTCACCTTAACCCCTGCCCAGTGAAGGATTCATAAGTTTCTCATCAATTACAGAATTGCTCTTCTGGGGTCGGACGTGAGGTTAGCGTGTGGGAAGGGGTAGGCGTTTAGAGGTGGGAGGTAGGGGGTAGGAGTTTGGAGTGTGGAGGTGGGAGTGTGGAGGTGGGAGTGTGGAGGTGGGAGTGTGGAGGTGGGAGTGTGGAGGTAGGAGTGTGGAGTGTGGAGTGTGGGAGTGTGGAGGTGGGAGTGTGGAGGTGGGAGTGTGGAGTGTGGAGGTGGGAGTGTGGGAGTGTGGGAGTGTGGAGATGGGAGTGTGGGAGTGTGGAGTGTGGGAGTGTGGAGGTGGGAGGGTGGAGTGTGGGAGTGTGGAGGTGGGAGTGTGGGAGTGTGGAGTGTGGAGGTGGAAGTGTGGGAGTGTGGAGGTACGAGTGTGGATGTATGAGTGTGGATTGTGGAGGTGGGAGTGTGGAGTGTGGGAGTATGGAGGTAGGATTGTGGAGTGGAGTGTGGAGGTGGGAGTGTGGAGGTATGAGTGTGGAGGTATGAGTATGGAGGTATGAGTGTGGATTGTGGAGGTGGGAGTGTGGAGGTAGGAGTATGGAGTGTGGGAGTGTGGAGGTATGAGTGTGGAGGTAGGAGTGTGGGAGTGTGGAGGTGGGAGTGTGGAGATCAGAATGGGATTAGGTCACGTGGCCTCGTACCAAAGAGCAGATGTCGAGCCACCATCCGCAAACGAGAGGGAACGCTCCAATCTCCATCACCACCAGAAGAGACACCTGCAGTGTCAACAAACAAAAAGGGCCCACCTATAGATTCGACATTCATATTACGAGACATCCACCGTGCTCAAAAAGGGGCAGCAAAGGGATCCGATTGGCCCAATGCAATTGGGGACAATTCGTAGTCGTGGAGGGAGCGAATCGTCGTTGTGCGCTCGCGCGGCCACCTTCACGACGATGTAGCAGACGCCGAGCAGGCGGCGCGAGCGCTGGAACCGCACGAGCGACGCCAGACCCTGGAGGCGCCGTCAGGGAAAAGGGGCGAAGTGAGGGAGCGGGCGGGCGAACGAGCGGGCGGGCATGCACGGGCAAAAAGTGCGTCGGTGTCAGGAACCAGTGGTGCAACTAGCGAGCGTGCAGGTGGCGCAGCCGCACCATGCTGCTTCATGAGCCAGAAGGCCCTCGAAAGTGATTTCCTGCTCAAAACGAGCATCGAGGCAGCGCTCATCTCTTGGTGACAGCCCTGAGCCGGCAATTGAAATTCCACATTCCTATGGTGACGGTGGGGTCTATCTTGAGGACAACTAATATTGACTTCCCCACACAAGTTGGTTTACATTTTATAGTCTCTGGAGGGCATGAGAGGCCGAGTGAACCACCAATCCACGATTTGAAGTCGCAACCTTCCAACCACGTGCCGCTCAGCTCTACCGATGAGCCGTCTGGCTGGGATCAAAGTGTCAGGCTATGACGAGAGGGGGTGGGTCATTGGATAAGGACCCCCCCGCCCCCCTCTAATTTCTTGCACCAGGGCCCATACCAATCATGCTACATAACTGTTAGGAACGCTTGCTTTATGGCAGTGTTCTTCACTCATGTTCAGAGGGGGCGGGGGGGGGCACTTTCGCCGATAAGACATCAGTCAGTATCAGACCGCCACACATTTGAAACCATTGGGTGTTTGACAGTAGCACAATGATAATGGGGGATGTTTTCACCATTTGTGTATTGTTGGGGGCTGCACGTTAGGGGGCGCACTAAAGGCCACCCAGGGGCTGCCTGTTGCCTGCGGGCTTTGCAATGAAGAATACTGCCTTATGGGTACAAAACATGCAGGCTGTTGTAAGTGTAATACAAATCTAGAGTTGTTACCAAAGCTGGGTAATGATCCAGTGTCCTTTGCGTGTAAAGTTAAGACCGCAGCTTGAACCAAGGACGCCAAAGTTTGACAACGGAAAAAGGTTATTGGTACCGTGCTAATTACAAACTAAAGACGACACGCACAAACGACGCAGACAAAGACACGGCACGAGACATCCAGCGGCGCTCAGCGAGGATACGTGGCAGAGAATGAGGGTGAACGCCAGCAGCACGTAGCCCACGATGGTGGTGATGAGGCCCTCAAAGTGCGACGCCTCCACCTGCCGACAAAGCACATTTCCGTCGTGCCAATTAGACCAGGGTTCCTTTTGTTCGGAGCGATGCCGCCTCCCGTTTGCAGGAAGATACAGCGAGGGAAAAAAGTATTTGATCCCCTGCTGATTTTGTACGTTTGCCCACTGACAAAGAAATGATCAGTCTATAATTTTAATGGTAGGTTTATTTGAACAGTGAGAGACAGAACAACAACATCAAAAATCCAGAAAAACGCATGTCAAACATGTTATAAATTGTTTTGCATTTTAACGAGGGAAATAAGTATTTGACCCCTCTGGAAAACATAACTTAGTACTTGGTGGCAAAACCCTTGTTGGCAATCACAGAGGTCAGACGTTTCTTGTAGTTGGCCACCAGGTTTGCACACATCTCAGGAGGGATTTTGTCCCACTCCTCTTTGCAGATCTTCTCCAAGTCATTAAGGTTTCGAGGCTGACGTTTGGCAACTCGAACCTTCAGCTCCCTCCACATATTTTCTATGGGATTAAGGTCTGGAGACTGGCTAGGCCACTCCAGGACCTTAATGTGCTTCTTCTTGAGCCACTCCTTTATTGCCTATGCCGTGTGTTTTGGGTCATTGTCATGCTGGAATACCCATCCACGACCTATTTTCAATGCCCTGGCTGAGGGAAGGAGGTTCTCACTCAAGATTGGACGGTACGTGGCCCCGTCCATCGTCCTTTTGATGCGGTGAAGTTGTCCTATCCCCTTAGCAGAAAAACACCCCCAAAGCATGTTTCCACCTCCATGTTTGACGGTGGGGATGGTGTTCTTGGGGTCATAGGCAGCATTCCTCCTCCTCCAAACACGGCGAGTTGAGTTGATGCCAAAGAGCTCCATTTTGGTCTCATCTGACCACAACACTTTCACTCAGTTGTCCTCTGAATCATTCAAATGTTCATTGGCAAACTTCAGACGGGCATATATATGTGCTTTCTTGAGCAGGGGGACCTTGCGGGCGATGCAGGATTTCAGTCCGTCACGACGTAATGTGTTACCAATTGTTTTCTTGGTGACTATGGTCCCAGCTGCATTGAGATCATTGACAAAATCCTCCCGTGTAGTTCTGGGCTGATTCCTCACCTTTCTCATGATCACTGCAACTCCACGAGGTGAGATCTTGCATGGAGCCCCAGGCCGAGGGAGATTGACAGTTCTTTTGTGTTTCTTCCATTTGCGAATAATCGCACCAACCGTTGTCACCTTCTCACCAAGCTGCTTGGCAATGGTCTTGTAGCCCATTCCAGCCTTGTGTAGGTCTACAATCTTGTCCCTGATATCCTTGGAGAGCTCTTTGGTCTTGGCCATGGTGGAGAGTTTGGAATCTGATTGATTGATTGCTTCTGTGGACAGGTGCCTTTTATACAGGTAACAAGCTGAGATTAGGAGCACTCCCTTTAAGAGTGTGCTCCTAATCTCAGCTCGCTACCTGTATAAAAGACACCTGGGAGCCATAAATCTTTCTGATTGAGAGGGGGTCAAATAATGATTTCCCTCATTAAAATGCAAATCAATTTATAACATTTTTGACATGCGTTTTTCTGGATTTTGTTGTTGTTATTCTGTCTCTCACTGTTCAAATAAACCTACCATTAAAATTATAGACTGATCATTTCTTTGTCAGTGGGCAAACGTACAAAATCAGCAGGGGATCAAATACTTTTTTTCCCTCACTGTATATAGCTCAGTGGGCCTTACTGGGTAAAATAAATAAAAAGATACTAAAATTTTCATTTTAGATTTAAGCACCAACAGTAATAAAAACAACCTTACAAGTTGTGTGCGGCAGCCACGGCCTGCTCTAGTGACGTCACTACACTGATGCATTCAATTTAGGCATCTAATTCACCGCCCCTCCCCCCCCCCAAAAGGTTGCAATTGTCATTTCTTAGAGTGGCGACTCAATTTAAAGAATCGATTCTTGCCTTGATTTCAAGTCTCATTTGTATTGGTGTTTCTGCCTCATAAGTACTGTCTTAATTATTCAATCGGCCAAAATATAACATTTGCTAAAATGGTGTATAAACAGCAAAATAAAAATATATGTTTGCCATCACAATTCTAAGCATGTATATATTGTTAATGTAGGAATCAATTTGAATGACCGAACCATTACATGCCTGATCACAACGTCCAACTCACCATCTCGGATGGGTTTATTTTAAAAGTTTACAGAGAAATTAATTGATGTTAATGAACACTGACTTACAAAGTCTTTAAATCCCAGGCCGATCACGGAGAAATGGCCAATGTGGTAAGGACAGAATGCTGTTAACAACAACAAAAGCACACAGATTTCGTTCGTATAAATACACACACATCACTTACATTAATGTATAGGCCAACAAAATTCAATGCCAAACATCTTTTCAAACGAGCGTAGGGCGACGCTAATCACCATTCCATAACAAACCGGTGGTGGAAAATCCACATTACAATGTATCCGTAAGACAACCCTGCAGCTTTGCCAAAAAGCTGGTACTGTACATATGTATGTGGAACTTCTTTCGGATTTCATCGAAGCAGATAAATGTTGAGCTGAGTCAACTCTCGAACTGGATTAGAACTTTTACCTTTCAATTGAAAGTTGGGTGTTTTAACCACAAATCACCACTTCCACAAGATTGTATAAATAAAGTATTTATATTTACACTGGTACACACTCATCATCGTGTATTTGATTAATTAAACAAAACTTTACCATTAAGGCTTACTGTATTTTGGGGAAAATAGTTAATACGCAGATAACAGTGTCTCATCCAAATTGTCGTTGCCTTTTAATTGCATCTGTGTCAGTTATATTGTGATAACGTCATTATAAAATTTACATATTTTAAACATCTATGTAAATTTCGGATAGCACGGTCGGCGAACACATTTCGACAAGGAACCTGTTCGCAAGCGCTGCACTCACCGAAGACCAGAATAAACAGAGTGTTGAGCGACACCACCCAAAACACGTGCTCCTGCGAATACAGAGAGAGGAACGAGGTTCAAGTTGACAGGGCCTGTAAATTAAAACCTGACCACCACTCAAAGCACGGGTGAGAGCCCAGTGGGAGAGTCACTGCTGCTTGGTCACCGACACAGGAGGGTGAACTTTGTGTTTATAATCACGTGGTGGGAATCTTTCCCAACATGAGGACGAGCGAGTCGGTCTTACCAGGAATATGAGTGACCCATCAAGCCCCAGAATCTGCAGAAAAAAACAAATATAAACAAACGAGTCACAGAGATTTCCTGCTCAAATGAGCATTGAGACGATGCTCATTTCCTGTGCAAGACCCTGGTGCAGTGTTGACAATTTCATATTCCAATGGCAAGGGTAAATCTACCCATATGGCAACCACTCTTGGACTTCCCCGCAAAATTAATTTTATCAACCACGGAGGGATGATGGGCCGAGTCAACCGCCCCTGGACCAGGATTTGAACTCACAAAATTTCGATTGAGAGCTGCTCGCTCCACCACTGAGCCAACTACAATAAAACACTCATCTCAAATTCCTTACACATGTATGTATGTTGAACTGAATAGCAGCCTCGGGCCAATTCACTTGGAACGCACCCTGTTATTGTGGGATCTTTTAGGATCTTTAATGCTAAGCTGGTTGAGTGGGATTTTTTCACATTTTTGTATGCAGCATACACAAATGGCGCTTTTTCTGGAAGATTTGATTGTTTTTGTAGGGGATGTTTAAATTTGCCTACAGTAAATTTTAAATGTCTCTTGTAATTTTATTGTTTGTTGCGGTTGCACCCGAATCAAGGGCCGAACGGCTCACAGGGTTATTCCAAATAAATGAAAAATGAAAACCGAGTGGATACTCCTTGGATGCATGTATGTTGATCTTCTTTCGCACCGTACGTAGTCAACCGTGCTAATCGGAGGTGCGGGGGGAGGACAACAAACTAAACACAAAAAGCAGTTCTAAAGATGAGTTTGTCAATGTAGGTGATTTATAAGTGCATGGCTCCCAGTGGCTTCCTAATATCGGAAGAGTGTTCCAGACGGCCACAGAAGTGCATCTGAAAGCACGCGATTCGGTGACTTGTCTTTGTTTGATGGCGAGCCAAAAGCCGGCGCTGTGAGGATGACCGGGAGTTTGCGTAATGGTTCATGCTCCTCGACGTCATCAGCAATGATTCAGCCTACTTAATGTCATCTTAGTCACAATTCATATAATCACCTGGCGTAGTACTTTTTACCTATTTTTTGCAAGGAAAATAAAACTCCAAAACCCAATATAACAAGACAGCACTCGTCTCCATCGGTGACCCTGGGCCAGCAGCGGAATTTCCACATTCCTATGACTAATCTATCAAAAGGATGGCCACGGATGATTTTTTATAAAAATGTGTACTTATTTTATTCACCCGGATAGATGTTTCAATATTCCATATTTAAGCGAGTGGTAACAGAGTGACATTCGCCCTCTCAAAAAGGACACGTGGTGGTTTTACTGATGCAGGAACCGTTACTCATTTGTTATCTTAACAGATCTAATTTCTTGCAAATTTTCATTTGTGGGATCTTACTGGCTGCCGAATTAACTAATTAATTGTTCATTAATTCATCTGAAGCAGTTGAAACAAGTTTATTTAGCCCCCCCCCCACCTACAACACCGTCCACCCAGCAGTAAAAATCGGTACACCACGGTAGTTTATTGGCAGGTCCCATGTGAAAGGCAAACGTGTGAGTACACCCGCCTCTAGCCAGCAAGGACAAAGAGCTCAAAATATCCTCTCTCGAGGACTGCACCTTACCCGTTCCCAGGTCAGCTCTTCGGCTGCTCGATCCCACTCCAAGGCATTCCAGTTCATGTCTTCTGTGCAGCACACAAGAAAAATCCACCGACGAAATTACCATCACCGATGCGCATACTCGGTGCTGTCACATTCCCAGGGCAACAACGAGCTCAAAGGTCACCCAAAAATTGGGAAGGCGGCCACCCACCCTGCGCATCGTTATTGGCGTTGTCGCCCGCTTGCTCTTCCTCCTCGTCCCCTTCGTCCACGTTTTCCTCGTCCTCGTCGTCCTCGGCATCGGCCGGCAGAGCCTGGGCGACCCGGGCCTCGCCCGGAGGCTCGGGGTCGAGCTGGCGTGAGAGGACAGCGTGAGTGACGGCACTCGCGAGGTGTGGAAGGCGAGCGCGCCGTGCCAGTCGTGGCTCTCGCGCCGATTGGGTGGGCACATCTTAATTCATCGATCACAACTGGAATTGTGCCATTGGTTATTAATCGGTTGCCACGGTGGCGAGATGTTAACTACCTCGCCTGGTATGCAGCAGGTCGTGGGTTCAATCCCGACCCCGACGCCTGTATATTTGGAGTGTGCGGTCGTGTAAATTTTTCTCCGGGTCCTCAGGTTTTTCCCTCCACATTTAGAATCAACGTGCGTATTTGGCTGTTATAAATTTACACGTGATCAGCCACTTCGTTGAGCTATCATTTGTGGCCAGGTCGCTTCTGCAAAAGAGCTATATAGCTCAGTGGGCTTTACCTGGTGAAATAAAGTTTTAGTTTTTTATATTTTTTTATTGCAAGTGGTTACAACGCCTCTCTTCCTGTTTTTTCCCCTCGCACTGCCCCACTTTGGAATTCCCTCCCATCGCCTTTCCCCCCCCCCCAAAGCTCTTCCAATAAACTTGCTCAATTCAAGAATCGTGTGTGAACTGTTATCCATCCCAACTTTGCCCATGCTTTTCTTGCTGGCTGCTTAACATGTTGGGTCTCTTTGGGCCTGTGCTCAGCAACAGAGTTAAAAACTATAATTTCTCATTCTCAGTGTACAATGTTGCTGCAGATCTAATTATCGTTGGCCCTGGGTGCTGCGGGCAACGACTGGCGCACTCAACCTGTTGTCCGTCAGGCTGCTGCGGCTGCTGCTGCTGCTGCGGGTGCTGCTGCTGCTGGTGCTGCGCGGCACGGGCGGCGAGGTGGTTCTGCTCGAGCCAGGGAGGTGCGCCACCGTGCATTATCTGCTCGCGCAGCCACACGAGGCTGATGAAGGCGCAGAGCGTGCACGTGACCACCAGGCAGCCCTGCAGGCAGTCCACCAGGATGTTCTCCCTGCAGGGGCGGGAAAACATCGGTGAGCGACGGCAGGGGGGGTGGGGGGAAGGTATTGCAAAAGAGGCAATTACGTTTCACGTGTCTCAACGTGATTATTTCATCTCCCGGGTAAATAAATTGAGTCACAGAATGACCGCCGGAAGATGACTTCGCAAAACGGCTTCCGGAGTTCAGTAAATTTGTGCCTCTTGTCCACACGAGGTGGCACACGTGATAAAATGCACTGCAAAGTGTGTGTTTTTTCCATGGCAACCAGGTGCCAATTTGCCTATGTGGTAATTTTTTTGCGAATGGTGATGAAGTGATGAACCACGTTTACACTCACGTTGACAACATGTCCATGGGAAGGGTGAGCAGCGAGCTCACGCAGCCCGTGAAGAGGCACTTGTATATCCGACCTGCAGACACACCGAGACAAGGATCGCCCGTGTAGCCTTAATAGACTGTTGTGACAAGTGCTGTTAGCGAGCAGCTATGAAGGCCGGCACGGCACACGAGGGGGTGGGTGGCCAGCACCACGCCCAGCCGCATTTGTCTCCCCAATGGCGATGTTTACACACCGCACCAGGTATTCATTTGAGGCTGAGTCGACCTATGGGAGGTGCAGGACCAGTTCAGATAATAGTCACTGGTGTTGGCTGTGAGCAGGAATAAAACTCTGGTCGCCGGCCTTTTAGTGCGGCGCGCTAACTGCTACACGACCACTCCTGACAGAGGCAAAGACACACGCATACACACGCAGCATGAAGACTTTTCCAGGATGTTTGCACAGGAGATGTTTTGAAGACTGCTTGTGTTATTTCGTGTTGTATTGTGCATGTAGTAGTGTGCACGTGGGAGGAAGCTGGATTGCACGTTTGCTGTGGGGTTAGTTTTGTAGTTTGTCATTGTTTTGCAGTAAATTTCTCTCTTAAATCCAACTGCCATTGTCTTGTGTGTACGTACGTTGAACTTCATTTGCACCGCACGTCGCCAACCATGCTAATAGAAGGTGCGGAGGAAGGATAAGGTCTGTAAAACACTACGGACATTTTGGAGACCTTGTCATTATTGAGGGAACGCCCCCATAGCCTGGGGATGGTTACTTTTCCCTCTCCGTATTCTCATGTGGCTCTCACTCATTCCCCATTCATTCAAACCATTCATCATAATTTACTGTCATAAATTTCACTTTCACCGATTTCACGCATCACAGGTTTGCCCCCATTGCTTCACTCTCATCTATTTCACACACCTAATCTCCACCATTACATTCATATGTACCATTGTCAATTCTGTGTAAAGCATCTTGGATAAGGCGCTAAAAAATTATTATAAGATCAGGGTTGAACCTGAACAGTGCTTGGATGGGTGATCACCACACACCATGCATGGGGGACCGCCATGCAAAACCAGATTGTCATAGGGCTGCAGGGTTAGGTGGTGGCAGCAGAGGGCAGTGTAGAAAATCCACAGTCGTAATGTGTGGTGAAGCATGTCTCATTAACCCCCATTACCTGCGCGGCGCGGCGAAGTCCCTCATCCAGCTGTGGACTGACAAAAGGTCTGCACGTGTGCACAACTGTTGCGAGCGTATGTTCTCGCAATCGCTGCGTAGGCTTGTGCCGCGAGTTGTGCGACCGAGCATGGCGGCGCGGGCCGAGCGTGCGTGCGTGCGTGCGTGAGTTCGTACAGGCGGTGAGCGGCACGACCCCGAGCCACGCGAAGGCGACCAGCGTGTAGTGGAACCAGAACCGCAGCGCCGTGCCCACACTGGCCAGCAGCCCCGCCACCACGTCGCCAACTGGCAAGCGTGGCGGCATGTCCGGAGAGTAAACTGCACCAACGCGGGACACACGCAAAGACGTACCATAACGGGAACAATCGATTTGAATTCGATTCATTGATGTGTTGCCGTGAAGCGGATAATCACCCACGAACTAACGTGTGAAACGTATCGATTGTCCAGAGGCTCGCTTACTTGGCGTGAACGTGAAGCGGTGCTTGCAGAGTTCGCAGTACTCCTTCCTGCTGTGCTTGAGCCATTGTAACAGGCTGCAACCACACGAAGACAGAGAAAAACAAAGATCACCCATATAGCCTTGAACAAAATGATAGGTCAAGTGCTGTTAGCGACCACCTATGAAGGCCGGAACGGTGTACGAGGGGGTGGTGTGGCCTAAACCATTCCCGGATTTTTTTCGCCCATGCTAAAATGCACACACGGCACCAGCTAAGCATCGACTTAGGGGAGACCCAGGAATGGTTATTCGTCACCGATGTTGGCCGTGAGCGAGAATCGAACTCGCGTCACTGTGTTCGTAGCGGAGTGCGTTAACCATTTCACTTCCCCTCCCCGCACACAAACAATAAATACAGAGATCGTCCCTTTAGCTTTGCAGATTGTTGTGTGCCGAGCGTGGAGACACAGAGGCACACATGAGCTCTCATGAGGTCGACATGGCTTTAATAACAACAGTCAGGTGCAAATGTTTGTGCAGCACACAGAGTTACTGTTGCAGGCTACAACAATAACTCTGTCAAGTGTCCATTTTTTTGAGACCAGAAATAGGCCTCCCTACTTCCGCATGCAGGTCGTGAAAGTTACGTGACCACACTGCATCATGCTAATTAGTGCGGGTTGGTAAAGGTGGGAAGCATAGATGTGGGAGCATAGAAATACAGGACAACACTAGATATTGCTGCACTCCCCTCTGCTGCCCACCACGCAGACCCACAGATGCCCACAACAAACCTGCTGTGCATGGCGGTTACTCATACTACTGCTTTTTGCGTTTAGTTTATTGTCCTTCCCCGCACCTCCGATTAGCACGGTTGGCTACGTACGGCGCGAAAGAAGTTCAACGTACGTACATCCAAGGAGAATCCACTCAACCCAGCTTAGCATAAAAGATCCCACAAGATCCGGGTGCGTTCCAAGTGAATTGGCCCGAGGCTGCTCCTATTCAGTCACTCGGGATAAGTTCTCCAGTACAAAACGTTCCCATAGCTTGACCAGGCGATCGCACAGAGCCTCGGCCCACATATCTGCTCATCCCCCCCCCCCCCCATGCTCGGTAAAACTCCCCAATGCCAAAGGCAGCTCACCAGTCCTGGTGGATGAACTTTATGCTGCCCGTGCACACGCAAGGGTGAAAGAGCGGCTTGTCCACAGTCCCCTCCGACCGGCACACCCGGCAGATATCTGTCGCAAACAACATAGCCACCGGTCATCAAAATGTTGATTCATCCTGGAGAAATCCGATGAGTTATGAAGCTCTTTTTCATAGCTGTCCACCAGGGTAAGAAAGTTACAACAACAAAAAACGATAGGAGTGCAAAGGATAGGAAAGGTAAGCAAATAAATAAACGAAAACTGTACTCTTTTTATTTTACCAGATAAAGCCCACTGGGCTATTAGTTATTTTTACGAAGCGACAAAGTGGCTTATCGTCTGGAAATTTATAGCAGCCAAATACTCTAATCCAAATCTGCAATGCGGATGTCTACTTGCCGAGCATTACGGCACCACTTAGCCCACTTGAATAGTGCTCCATCCCACAATTAGGTAGCCCCGTTAAACACGTTCTCTCTCACCAGGTGTCAATACATCTCAAATTCTGTCAAAACGTGTTTCTAAAATACATTACACGAGTCCCTCGGTTAAGTGACATCGGTTAACGGTTTTTTTCAGTTGATTTTTCGCCTCCCATAGGACCCCATAGTTTCGACTAACGTTAACATTCTAACGGCATGTTTACGTTCTGCACACGTGCGCTAATTTCGGCCAATTCGAGCGCTAGGAAGTGGGGCTGAGCCATGCCCTCAGCCAAACAGCAATGTCCATTTATGACCGTTCAGACCTCGACTGGCTTTGTTGACGTTATGTTTTCTGTTTTGGCAGTGGAAACAGCTCTATTGCAGACTCATGTAATTCCTATATTCCATTAAGAGTTATTTGGGTAAACAGCAGTTTCCATGGAGCGGATTAAAAAAGTTAACCGAGGGACGTATGTTGAAGTGTGTCTCCCTGCTCCTCCTTTTGTGGCCTTGAGACAGTCGTACAATGTCCACATTGGCATTACTGGGCTCAGAATCACTTTGAGTTTTCACAAATGTGCACTCTTTTTATCATCCTCACAGGGATGATGATGGGCTGAGTTTCCACCCCAAACAGGCCTGAACTTGCACCTTGAGAATGTGAGTTAAGCACTAAACATGGCAAACAATCCTGTACTCCACACTGCATACTTTAGAGCAGGGGTCCCCAACCCCCGGGCCACGGACCGGTACCGGTCCGTGGCCTGTTAGGAACCGGGCCGCCCAGCAGGAGGTATCCGCGCGTGGCCCGCCCATTATTTTATTATTTACCACTTCCGTCCGCGCCTCTTTCCCGCACTGCGCACTTGTCTCAGTCACAGTGTTGGTAAGCCCACAAGCTAACACCTAGTAGCCAAAATGAGTAAAAAACAAATGTCGCTGGAGAGCTTTGAAAAGGGGGAAAGACCCAATGATGAACCCCCCCCCGGTCCGTGAAAAAAATGTCTTTCACGAAACTGGTCCCTGGTGCCAAAAAGGTTGGGGACTGCTGCTGTAGACTCTATATTCTCTATACTGTAAATACCAAATTCAATGTATTGCGTGCCAAGACTATTAATTTGAAAGGTCACTGTTTGGGATGTTTGGCCAATTGTATTATTCAGAATAACTGCATGTGAGAGGAAATGCAGTGCCTGGAAGAGCCATATGTTTTATACTGTACAGAACAACAGACACTATCATTCAGAAACAGAGCTGCTTTAACATGGAACAATCTTCCACACGCACTAAGCCAGTCTCAACATAGGGTGCCACGGTGGAGAGATGATAACTACCTCCCTAGGTATACAGGATGTTGTGGGTACGATCCCGACCCTGACCCATATATATTTAGAGTTTGCATGTTCTCCCCGTGGTCGCGTAGATTTTTTCTCCAGGTCCGCCGGTTTTTCCCTCCACATTTAGAATCAACGTGCGTTTAGAGTATTTGATTTCTATTAATGTCCACGTGATAAGCCACTTAGTTAAGCCATCAACTGTGGCCAGGTCGCTTCTGAAAAAAACATCTATATATCTCAAGAGTTGTTTTGCTTATATAGTTAATATTTTAGTACTGCCATTAAAACACACTTCCACAACACGCACAACTGTTACAGCTCGAGCACATTCTATGTGAACCACTTAATTATGCATGTATTTATTTATGTGTTTGACTGGATGTGATGTTCATTGTAAAAATGTAGACGGAACCAAGTTACAACATGTGTAAACGGCTTGTGTACGTGTCGTTACGTGTTCGCTATGTTACGTGCCAATCAACACCCTAAGACATCCTTGAAAACGAGATGTATCATCTGAAGGGATTATTAGGGTGAATTATTTTCAAGTAAAAAAAAACAGCTGAAATACCGATTGCACTGATGTAACATACGAATTAAGTGAAACATATTTTGTATACTCCTTTCATGTTCAAATTAGTGATAGATGCCTTGCAAATTGTATTTTAAAGCTACACTGTATGGGTGGTTGACACTGTTGGACACGCACATCAACTCAAAATCGAAAGGTTGCGAGTTCAAACGTCAAATGGAGGTCAACTCCACCCATCATCCCTCCACAGTCAACATAATGGGGCACCCGCATTGTGTGAGGATAACTCCAGTGACTTTAAACGTACAGGCTGACCCCTGCCCTAGGAAAGTGAAATTTACATCACTGGTTCTAGGTTTTCAACGGAGAAAAGAACCACCCTATGATCATTTGAGCTTTGGGTGACTACGTTGTAATGAAAGTAAGAAAACACTGAAGTTTAAACAATTATGTTACATAAGAGTATTTCATCGCAGGTGTGATCTTAACCAAAAACCCATTCGTAATGATGCACAACGCTTGCCGTGACTCAAAAGTTTAATGTCGTGCAGTTTCATAAACCCTGCGCGTGTCACGTCACACAAAGAACGGCACAGTTTCACAAATCCGTCCCGAGGTGAACTCGACGATCTACCGCGTTGTTTGTAAGCGTTCCAAAGTCCCCTCCTGCAGAACACGCATCCGAATTGTTAAGTTGTTACATTCCCATTAAGTGCTTTTATGTAAGAATGTACAATGCCCTACAGTTTTGGTGCACAGAGGCGTGTGCTCAGTCAGCTGTGCCGATCAGCTAACGGACCTGTGGTTTATTGTCCAGACCCCGATGAGAATAAACTTCAAAAGGCCAATCTTTGAGCCTTATGATGCTGGCGGTCACATCGAGCCTCTATGCAGGGGGCTTGTAAAACCCTGAGGGTTTCCCCCATGATGTCATCGTCATCAGCCACGGTTAATCCACTGCTGGTTGGAAGGCTTCGCAAGCCTCCGCTATCTCCCACGATCCTGCCGTGTATAGCAATACTGTATACGCGACATCTGCACGCGAGCTCATTTCATCGCTCCATCTCCATGATGTTGTGCGACTCGCATATCGTTACCACTTTAAAGTATGCCAGACCCTTGCAGTGCAGTCTGCATGCCAATGTATACATCCCTAAGAGTTCTGAAAACATGCTTGTGAGGATAACCCCAGTGACTTACTGTTAGATATTTAACAATTCCATTTAAACTCTTTGGTTCTTTCGGTAAAGTCACGTAGGTATAAAATACAAATTGCTGAAATGGGACACTTCAGCAATTTGTTTATTGCTGGGGTTGTTTCCACCTGATGAGGGACGCTTGTGTTGCGCCCGAAACGTCGTGATTTAATTTATTTTCTACCTACTACGTGACTTTACCGAAGGAACCAAAGAGTATGGATTCCTGCAGTCACAAAAACTTCAAATCAAGATTCATTCCATTTAAGTCATATATCGTGGCCAGATTTTAATTGAAGGCGTTATTTTGTGTTCGTTGTGGCTAATTTGTTCTATCGTATGTTGTCTCATTTGTGCCATCAACCTGAAGGAAAGTTTTGCGTACAATTTGCATATATTGCTTTTATCCCAGATAAACTAGCTTTACAAACATAACATGCAATGCAAGTGGGAAAAAAAGTTATTTTGGCAGATGAATTATTATATGCACACTTTCGTTAACACTGTATTGTGGGAGTACACTTACAGGCACACACACGCCAGCTTGACATTATTCTGGTCTATGATTCATCCTAAGCTTACAGAGGATAGAGTCCACGGGTACTGGCAGATCTGCACAGTGGACTCCTCTGGCAAGGTGAGGATACATTGGCTGAGTCACGTTGTCTGTGTACACAGTTATTGCACGCCTAAGCAGCTTTTATTTGGCTGGTTAAAAGTGTTTCCATGCTCAAATGGGGAGTGGCGATCATCTCGGTCATCTGGTGGGACGTCTCTCTATAGAACCACTTACACAACTATATTGTTGCACGCCTTGTGAAATCTATGTAGAGGGTGTGTGCATTGCTGTTGCAACTACATCCTCGGCTTGATTTGGCCTTACTATACATCCGCAATGAATTGGGCAGTTTGACAACTTATGTTTAACTTTTTTGTAAGAGATAAGAGGAGTTAGACACTACAATTGCATTGTTATCCACCGCTGTCTACACAGAACAATGGTTCCGGGTTCGGATGTAATTAGTAAAATTACTCCTTGAAGTTTAGATGTGTGTTATGATTACAGATGAGGTTAGAAACAGCATTATGCCAAATGTTTAACGTTATTATGACTTTTCCCAGCAGTGATCAAGTGTACTTTAGGTGAATGTGTTTCAATATCACAATTATAGAAGCAATTCCATTTCATCTCAATTATATTTTACAAATGCCAGTTTCTTTCAGATCTGGGGCAATGACAAGTTTAAGTCCTGTTGTATTGTTGGGACATTACTTACCACAATAGGCTCCAACCCCTTATGCAATGTAAGATATTGTCAAGCCAATACACCAAATGTTCCGACGTGTTCGAACTCCGCCTTTCATCTAAATTATACATGACGCAAGTCAAACTAACTCGGGACTTCCACGCTGCAAGGCATTAGGTGTCACTCTTCCCCAGTCTATGGGCACACGCCAGACATTTCAATTGTTTGGGTACCAACTTGAATTGGCAATACTTTCATCATCACTTACAGCCCGTGTGTTTTCCATCTCACGCTGCATGCAGGCCACGCCATCAAGTCCACGTCATCGCTCGCGAGCCTACGGCGTTAATAATACTGGTAGGAACGAAGTTGTAAACTGAGTGTACCAGCCTGCAATAGATTAATGTGTCCGTCCGTCCCCTTTCAATACTTTAACGAAGTGAAATCTCGTGCTGTTGGGTGTAAAATCATCAATAGCGCAGAGACTTGTCCTACCACCCCACCCTGCAGGGATCTGTTAATAATAATCCGTGTGGTTGGAACCGTTTGTCCAACAACGGTTGACGTCTGCGAGGATAATTACGTTGGTTCTCTGCAATCGTTGTTCAAATGTCACGACCGAGTCGGGACTAACGCAAGTTGCGACCGTTCACACTGCCATCACCATTGGCCATGATCACTGCTGTATGAAGGCCTCCCCACAATCCGTCCACAGCCACCCATTTTAACGGCTCCATCTCCCGCATGTTGGTATTCTGCGACGCGTTTCCATCCCATTCCCTTGTGTTTATTACCTAGGATTTGTCGGTTTGCACTGATACATTTAAAAATGTCAAAATAACACGTCCATTGCAGCACCGTAGACGGTGTGCAACATCCCACCGTGAAATACTTTTGACATTTAACTTAAAACACGAACCAAACATGTTGACAATTATCCGCCGCAGCCCAACAACAACTCACAAACTAAACAACCGTCGTATAAATAATACGCTCAGCCGTTCATAACACTAAACAAAAACCACACACACTTAAACAAAACAAGGCCGCAAATGTAGAGAGCGGCACTTTCCTAGATTGTCCGCCGGGGAAGGGCGATCGAAGCCGGTTGAGCCACGAAGCCGAAGCCGGGGGTCTCGACAGGGCCCGTGGGGCCTCAGGGGGCGGGGTAGGGGCCAACTCGCTCGCACCTCGCACGAAGCGCGTTTATTTTAAAGGGGTGCCTCTAACGATAGTTTTTTTTAAACTTTCTTTACAACAAACGGGCAGGGGTGGGGTCGAAATCCTATAAGGGCGCGCCAAGGTACCGTTGATGCCCGTGAACGACCGTAAGATGGTGCGAGGAGGCGCCGCTGAAGGTGGTCCTCACCTTCGTCGGAGAGCTCCATGTCGAGACCTCGTCGTCACCTCGACGTCGTCGCCATTAAAAAAAAATAAACCACCCTCGACAATACAAACCCCCCTGCGCGCCTCCGGCGACAACTGCGACCTCTCTTAAAGCGGCAACAATACTAGCCGTAAAAACAAAGGCGAACGGCCGATGTGCCCGGGCGGGTCACGTACATGACTGACTCACTAAGACACCGCACGGCCAACCTTCCCCCCCACCACCAACCACCACTCGATCTTCCGAACTCTCCAAAATGCGCCACGTGCTGGACAAGCGGCGCTTAAAGCGCGAGCGCGGTTTTAATCCTCGCAACGGCTCCCGAGCGTTATCTCATGCTACCGATTACATTGTTTAATAACACACGGCGAGCAGGACGTGGTGGGGAGGGAGGGAGGGTGAGGCGAGTAGAGGCATAAGAGAGTGGGCGACACAACCGGGCAACGGGCGGCGCCGTGGCTTAGATGGTTAAAGCGCCTGTCTAGTAAACAGGAGATCCTGGGTTCGAATCCCAGCGGTGCCTTTTATTTTATTATTATTTTATGCAAATATAAGCTACACGATTGCACCGACTATAGGTACAGTTTTTTTTGCTTTTGGAAAACCTCCACCGTGACGCGATGTGATCTGATTTGATTCTAGTTAAGGCGCAGCTATCGTCTAAACTCCGTTCTGTCTCCATCACAAACGTGAACATATTTTAATCCATTAGCCTTATTGTCTTTTCAAGAACAATCGTTTCCGAGCAGCAAGCAAAGTCTCCACCGGCTGCGTCACTTATTGACCTAATCGGCGCCAAAGTTCGTTAAATGCTGTCATTGGCAACAGCACTCAATCTTAAACTACGTGAGAATTTTCAATGCAAAAAGCAATATAGTACCGTGCTTTTATATATATGCTTGTAGCCATTTAGGCTTTAGCCGTCAACGTTGAATGAGTTTGTATGTCTCATATCGAACCACCAATCCACTCCTTCGTGGTCTCATTCTAATGATTGGTAACTTACGCCACCTGCTGACTATTTTGTATTTATTATTATTTTATGTTGTGTCACGTTAAGCTGAAACTTTCCATTACATTCTTGAATTGGGGCTTTGTTGGATATCTGTTTTGCAGAATTGCAAGGGCTGGATTAAAGTTATTTGTAGGTCCTTATGCACTTCTATTTCGTAGGCCTTGAGTGATAACTTTATAGAGTTGGTGGTGCTGCTGCTGCTGCCCCATGTCACTACTACCACCACAACGCTTGTCTGCCCTTATTAATCTCTGCAGAGAATTAGATTGTGGGGGGGGGGGGGAAAAACACCATTTGAATATGCTATTGCTAATTCTTCAATAAAAAAAAAATATCCGCTGTTAATTTGTCTCACGTGAAAAAAAACGCTGCATTAAGATGACTCTGCCTCGTATATATACACTGTTGCCTATCCTTGCTATATGAATATATTTATTCAAGAAGATATCTTTGGTTGTATTTTTTACTATACATACAAACACAATACACGGCCAACATTCTTTAGTAGCCGTAGGCGCAGTGCCTATTGTGCCTTTTTGGATAATACGCCCCTGATGTGGTATCATGCAAATGTGTGATATTGTGTTGGATTGCTTACAATAAATAAATCAATAATCACCGTCGGCCTGTGGGTTGAGATTTTGTTAAGTTTAGATTTCCATTGAAATGCGTGACTTCGAGGGGTTTAAAAAAATAATTAAACCCCATGGAGTGCACCATTGAAACAAACAGCAGCATTGTCTCCCTTTTGCAAGGCAGTCCTGGATTACATTAAACCATTTGAAGTATACTGTAGTAGGCGGATGTTTACATTGTAAACGTGTTTGCTATATGTACGTGTCACTTTATAACCACCTGGGGGTCAACCCTTCCAAACCGATATGTTGTTATCTGGACGAAGCTGTAAATTGTCTTCTGAAGTCCGTAATTCGTTTTGTGATACTTCTTGCTGGATTGTTCCAATATAAATTCAACGAAGACATGCGCATCGAGATGCTGTTCAGTTTCGATTTACATTTTGTTTATGCGACTTAAAAGGTTTTAAATAAAACGTATCGTTACACCCACCACCAGCCGACACGGTCAGTTAGTAAGGTTTCTTCACGTGAACAAAACGTGCCAATTAGTTACTACTTTAGCACAACCGGTGTATTGTTGGAGAGATAAACCCTGAAGCGTGGTTGCTGGCAGACCTCTCCACATTAGCACACAGCTCCTGCAAAAAAAATTGCTGCCACAAGCAAGAATATAACCTGGGTGAACTATTTCCTTTAATAAATACGCGAGGAACACGTATAGATGATAGAACATACGCTGGGTTGCCGTCGTCCAAACTTAAAAAGGTTATATTCTTTGTTCTTTCGGTAAAGTCACGTAGAAGGGAAATTATAATATAATAAAAAGAAAACATAATATAATAAAATTCTCACGACGTTTCGGCCACAACGCAAGCAGCCGTCCTCAGGTGAAGAAACAGAGCTGTCGGAAAGACAGCGTCCTAATGAACACTGCTAGGCAGTGGCCGAAACGTCGTGAGAATTTTATTTTATTGTTTTATTTGTATTATTTTATAATTTCTCTTCTACGTGACTTTTAACGAAAGAATCAAGAAAAGGAATCCCTGCAGTCACGAAAGCTTTAAATCAAAAATTAAAACGTTATATTTTCGTACCCAATACAATTATTATCATGAACGACAAGACTTTTGTCATTGAGCTTCCACGTGGCTGGACATGTGACAAAGCGCTTTATAGCTCATCGGATTCCTTCAGTATAAATAAATATTCTGATGCTGATGGCTGCACCCCAAAAACTAATATGGATCATCATTCTCCTCCAAGTTAGTGGTGCTTGACCGATGTTCAAGACTCATAACGGGGTTGGCAGCCAAGGAATGAAACTCTGACATCAAGGAGATGGATCAATGAAATCAGTTCATCTGTAGGCGCTGGATGGTTGCATCGCAGGATCGAGGTCTTCATCCTGCAGTGTATTTGACCACGGCTGATGTCAAAGATGATCTAAGTCTTCTAAACCGACATTATTGAGGTCGAAACAACTACAAACGCACGTCATTATTTTGTAAGATCATTTAGTTTGTTAATCTACTTTACATTTGCTGGGCCGAGCCACCCTCGGAAACAAAAAGAGCCGTGTTTTGCCCAATGGGTAATCTACTCGGATAATAATGCTAATTAACTTTTGATTCTGACAAAATGCATATCTGTCAGAGACCAATTCAGACCGTATTGGTGTCACCCCGTGCCCTTCTCAATCTCAACGTTCGTCCTACAAAGTCCCATCGCAAGGGAGAAGCAAACACAATTCGCCCGTATCGACAATGCACCTGACAGCTCGATATCGCTGTACAAGAACACGGCGCTAACCCACGTATGGGTCCACTTCGGTACGCAACGACTCGCCACGCGGTAACCCATCGAGCAGTGGACGGAGCGTGTTCGAGCGCGCGAGGACCAATCGGGGCGCGGGCGGTTGCGGTGACGTCACGCGTCCTCCCCGCGTTCCGATTGGCCGAGCGCGGGTCGAGCGCGAACTTTTAAAATCCCGCCATTTTCTGCTGCGAGGCGTTCGCTGAGGCGGCGAAAAAGTTTTTTTTATTTGTTGTTTGTTGCGATCGGTCGGTGTCTCGAGTTTAAACAAATAAAAAAATCTAGGTCACATTTTTAAAGCGAACTACGTTTTTTTTAGTTCGTTTGCTGCCGCCATGCCGGCCGTTTATAAAGGTAAGAGTTGCGTCGGTTACTGCGGGGGTTTTTGGTATGGAGTTTGAGTGCGTACGAGGCCTAAGCGCAGGCTTTCCGCGGCCGCCGGAGATAAATCGAACGTTAATCGTTTAACTTGTTTTGTCGTGAGCACAAATAACGAGGACTCGGCACATTCGTTGAAACGTCAATAGGTTGACAAACAACGTATCGGGAAATGACCTTGCAGCACCAAAAATAATCGTACACGTTCAACGATAACCGCGTTACGACGACCGCTCTTAAAATTACTCTAGAAGCGAATGTGTGTGTGTTTTTTAAAGTGTTGCAATGTGAGAGCAAAATATACAACTGTACATATTTGCTTATAGCGTGTCATTTGTATATGTGAGTGTGGAGCGGTGGTGCAGGGTTAGCTCGTCGCACCAGTTATCCCAAACGATATCTGTATCGGTCCTGGTCCAACACCCCCCCCCCACCAAAACCCCTTCAATCTCAATTGTTTTTACAAACGCGCACTGACCAGTTTGGTGAAATATTGTCACATCCCTTACGACCGACACGGCATGGGGAGTAATTCATCTAGCAGTGGATTGCTTGTCCACTGTATCTCTTGTGTCCGCGTCTCGCTTGTTTGCCTCTGATGTCGCACTCTCTTTACTTATTTATTTCTAAATGTTCGTCTCACGTCTTCGTGTCTATATATCAGTGGCCGTCTACCGGTGTGGCTGTCTCCGTGTCTATTCGTGTCTCTGTATATGCGCCTGTCTCCGTATCTGTCCGTGTGTATTTTTGGTCGGAACCTCCGTCTGGGCCTTATTTGAAACTCATACACACTACTGGGGTTGTATTTTGTGTATTGTGTTAATCAATGTATAATTCTGACATGATCATTCCGTACGATTATTTTACAGGTGAAGTGCCGGGTTCTTGTAACCTGAACCAAAGGTGAGGCAATATCATCTTTCAATCTGCACGTAGCAAACCAAAATTAAACGTATTTTGTTGTACAGTATTACTTGTGTTGACAAGCTGCGCAATTGTACAACACCGGTTGTTGGGTAATACAATTAAAAACGGACAAGGATCTTTCATTTACGTGAAATAAAATCCTATTTAGGTGCAGTAGCATGTGAGACTTCTGGATCAGTGTTTTCAGCAGCATTTGTTAAAGTATGCAAATGCTGGTTTCGGCCCAATAAACATGCTGCTGGGTTGTCTGGTCTTACAGGGCAATAACAGCCCAACTCAGCAACATTGCTCACAACGCATGTAACGATGATGTTCAATGTTGGTGAAACGTTGCCATGTCCGTTCTATGCTTATTGTGATAACAGTTGATAAAGCTTGTCCATTCTGCCAGGCAAACGTTTTGAATAAATATAATCATTAACCTACTGCCATTTTTTTTACAATTTTTACTTACGATCAGACACTAACTATCCCAAAAATGTTTATCAGAAACCGCTCAGTTTAAAGATTCAGTTATTTTTGTATTAGACAAAACAAAATTCCTAAAGTTACTGAGGGGAAGCTCCAATCTTTTACCGTTTTCGAATTATTCAGGTTTGAACATCATAAAATGTGGATTTATTCGTTCAAAACGGCTTGAATACGAAATATCTCAAACAATGAAAGATAGAAAAATTGTTCTTGCTTAAATTTTATTTGCTGTTTAAAGCTCTATCAAACGAAAAAACCCGAAATCTTACATTTTGAACGGTTTCTGAATGACATGCACCAGCAAGTTTGAGACACTTAAAATCGAGATTTGGGGGCCTTAAAATTAAAAATCTCAGATTTTCAGATTTTTCCTGTATCCTAAAAGCTACCTAAGTACCATATTTCAGTTTTCTGCCTTGTCAGGAAGTACCCTTAGAGGTTTTTGAGACATACAGTCTTCAAATAGATTGCGTGAATGTCGCACGTTTGAAATGCTCAACGTTGGCACTCTCCACAGCTCGTGTTCAGATGGCGACGCAATCCGTGTGTGCGTGCGCGTGCGCCCACCGACCGAGGGCATAGCGGCGAACGAGGGCGAGTCGATGGAGCAGGGCATGTGTGTGACGGTGGTCTCGCCAGACACAGTTCGGGTGCTCTCACGGCCCGAGCCACGCACCTTCACCTTTGACTATGTGGCCAGCATAAGTGCCACTCAGGTACGGTGTCATTGCGTCGTTGAATTTGTAAAAAAAATTACACTTCTTAACCTTATTTGGGGTGTCAACATTGCGCACGTGATAATCCGGTCTCTGAACACATGAATCGATTGGGGGTAGCCCGGGTCACCGCAAAATATTGGTGGGCCGGGTATAGTTGAAGTTTTTTTTCTGGGAGCATCGCTGGTACTACCCTGTCCTGCCGGAGCGCGACGCTGGGAGCGATGATGACGACAATGTTGATCCCGCCAGCACGACCATGACCGCCGGCCGTACCAAGAGAGCGCCTGGTGTGCCATTGCCTCCAAGTGGTCTCGCTCCCAAAGACAAGGGTGGCCGCCCCCGTAAGAAGCAGAACGTGCTGGGGAATGACCAGACCAGCATCCCGATGTACTTTCAAAACAAGCAATAAACAGCCGTTGTCACACACAAATCCCCAGCAGCCCCCCCTTTTTATGGGTGTTTTGCGTTTGTTTTTACTTCCATATTTGGCGTGCGTATCGGGCTCGGTGACATCTCCCGTCTTCATAGGCCTTCTGGTTTCGGAGTTATGGAGGTTTTGGCACCCCCAGGTCACAATGGTGACCCGGGTCACCGCCAATCGATTCACATGTAAGCAGAACAATTTTCCGTTTCGACAGAAACGAACTACCTCGCCTGGCATACAAGAGTTTTGTGGGTTCTATCCCGACCCTGACACCTGTATATTTGGAGTTTGCATGTCCTCTCTCCCTCTGGTCACGTGGATTTTTTCTGGGTCCTCTAGTTTTTGCCTCAACATTTAGAAACATGCATTTAGATTATTTGGCTGCTGCTATAAATTCTCATATGATAAGCCACTTCATTGAGCTATCATTTGTGGTCAGGTTCCTTTTCAAAATAGCTTATAGCTCAGTGTGGCTTTACGTACTAAGTACAATAGTTTCGTTTTTAGTTTATCATGTGAGCATCATCAGCTACTGTACGTGTGTATGACTTGCCGTTATATCGGTCTCCAGAATTGCAATTTAAACCAAAGCTCTATAGTTCCACTCATTTATATCGTGTCTTGTTTGCATTTGCAGGAAGAGATATTTTCCGTTGTAGCAAAGAACATAATTGAGTCATGCATGAATGGCTACAATGGCACCATCTTTGCCTAGTGAGTATCATACTTGCACAAATCACAGATGTACAAGAATGTCTTAATTATAATGCATCCAATACAAATGTTCTAAACCCATTGGTCACATCCCCCTGGTGGGCGCATGTTGCGAAATAGGTACCGTGCAGGAGAAGTTACTTCTATAATATTTTAATTACTCATAAAACATTCCTGTAGGCCTAATGATTTGTCGCTACTCTACATTCTACACTCGGTCAAAACATGTATGTGTATTGAGTTGATGAGAAGAACATGCCAGCACTTGTGGCTCTATATGCAGGCAGTTCCGCTATTGTATGTGATATAAATTCTATACTTTAAAATAATGCTTGCAGCATCTTCCACTGTTTTAAGTTTTAATTTCTGATGGTTGGCTCTTGGCCAAACTTGCCTCCAAGGAATGACTGGCACAGAGGTGCCTCCTTTTAAGAGTTAACAGCTACTTTCCAAGAATGCTTTGGTATTTTCTTTTAAGCTAGGACAGTGGACCTTGAGGGGTGTTTAACATTGTGTACTATTGCTGTACGTCCATCGTAAAGATTAAAGTATCCTAAAATACAAATAACACTGTAGGTATATAATGGGTGGATGACACCTTAGCTGTCAGTGCATTTAATACGGACCCTATTCATGTGGAGTCCTTAAATTGGCAAGTAATGTCCATGGATTTCTTAAACGGCAAAATTTGAAAGAAAGTGGGCATTTAAAGGGTATTTTAGCATGATAAGCAAGAGTAGGTCACAATTAGAAAATGATGGGACAATTTGTAAGATACGTGTCCATGACTTCAGTCACAAGATCTTGTGAATTAAATACAAAGTCCTAACGGATGTTTTGTTTATATGAAAACAAAATAAAATTAACCTATTTTGGCTGCGCTGTTACATTGGTGCCAATTTAGTTAATTGATTTTTTATGTGCTTAACAATGACTGCAAAATAACTCTATCTTGTCTTAACAGTGGCCAGACAGGTTCAGGAAAAACATTTACCATGCTTGGTGAGTTGTTATAAAGTCTCTAAGCGTATTTGGTGTCCCATTTAAATGTTGCTTAAAACAACTTTAGTATAATTTGCATACGTTTGTAATGTGAAGCAGTAAAATGTAAAATTATACTTCACATTTTTATGAAACTAACTCCTGGCCTCCTATGAATACATTTCTATCAGCACAGTCACCCAGAGGTCCCCATAGGTTTATTAAGGTTGCACTTTTTTGTATGTGTGCAGGTGCCATGGACCACGTGGACATTTTTAACCACAACCTCCGTGGGGTGATCCCACGCAGCCTCGAGTTCATTTTTTCGCTAATCTCTCGCGAGAAACAAATGGTGAGAAGCAGAAGAACAATTGCCTATATATATGGATAGTGCTTGACTCGCTATCAATAGGTTGTGTAAATTTAAATCTTGAGTCCGGTGCCAAATCGTGTCATCTATCTGGAGTTGATAAAATGACACCGTCCATCGAATATCTTTTTAGTAGACAGTATTCCCTCGTTATTCACGAACTTGCTATCCGCGATTTTGATTATTCATGAATTACATCTGGAACTCTACACAACTGCATCGAGGGAGAGAGCATGAGAAAGTGATGAAAGAGAATGTGATATGAAAAAATATCACATTCAGGCCAAACCATCTTGGTGTGCCCTTCTCTAACACATACCATGCACCCTTCACCACACACTTTTCTGTCCCTCGCTACACACCCTATCATCTCACCATACCACTTGTGGAAAGGAAATAATGGTTGTCCTTGGAAGACATTGGTCAATGCCCAGTGAGACACTGACTTTTTCAGTTTAACAGTGGCATTTATACAGCTGTTGCAATAATGTATGTTATTTTCCATATTCACAGACAGGAGATGCCAAAGAGTTCTTATGCAAGTGTTCCTTTCTGGAAATCTACAATGAGCAGGTAATAATTACTTTATAATGATTCGTTAATTGTCATTCATTTATCGAGATGAGAATCATTGAAATGAATTATCTATATATAAATGGGAAATTTGTGAATGTGTGTCTGTTCAAAATGTTTAGCATACTTCCCGACATGCAACAAACTTGAAATTTGGCATGTGGATAGCTTCCAGACTGTACACAATGCAAAAAGTATAAAACATAGATTTTTGTATTTTGTGGGGGGGGGGGCGCAATAATAAATATATTTTGCACGGCAAGCGAGTGGTGGCGTCACATCTGTGATGTCACCCGCATGCGGAAGCGTCATGCAGTATGCCTGCTGACGTCACGCATCCCTCCCCCCAACCCGCCCGTGTATCCTGTACAAATGTCCTGCACAAATGTCCTGCACAGCTGTCTCGATGTTCTAAGTCAACGCGACTATTTTCAGCTCGCTCTTAAATATAAAGCTGAAAATACACCCGTTTGTGTGAGGCAGCAAAAACTCACGAACGATAAGTTCTGACGTCATGACGTTTGCACAGCTTATGCTGTCTGGAATTTCTAAGGGAACGCGACAATTTTCAACTCTCACGTCATTCCCTTCCCGAGTTGGCTGGTTAAGGTTCAATTTCCTTTGAGTGAAAAACATCCGATTTAGTTAAATTGATTTGTTTCGGATTTTTTCTTTCTTGCAAGCATCACATTTTTCAGAGTTTTCCACTGAAATATAAGGGAGTATTAAATTAATCCAAGGCAAGAATCCAAGTCCCAGGCGAAGCCGGGTAGTGAAGCTAGCCTCTTATAAAGAAGACTTTTTTCACCTGGGCTGTAACACTGGCACAATTTCCTAACCTTGTAAATTGAATAAAATTGTCTCTTAATGCTCACTTTAGAGCTAAAGGCACACTTTAGTAATATCTCGCCAACATTGGTGGCCAGTTATACGACTTAATTTGACTCTTGTGTTGTGCTCCGACGACTTGGCTAGGGAGCCTCAATAATCAAGTACTGTAGAGGTGGTGTTGCCAATATAATAGTGATGCTGATGGCGATTAGTCGTATCAAAGTGACCATTTGTGCTACTGTAATGTGGCAATACATGGTAATGGTGTTTGTGTGATTTCGATGGTGGCTTTGCCCACTGAAGGTGTTTGATCTGCTGGACCCAGCTAGCACCAGTCTCTTCATTCGGGAGAACATACAAAAGGGCGTGTTTGTGGAGGGCGTCATGGAGATGTCTCTTTCCTCGGCTGCAGAAGCCTACCAGGTGGCATGCCAACGCGCACCCCACCAGTGTCGGTTTCCACCTGCAGTAGCACAACCTCCACAATCTTTAAATTCTCAGATTCCACCGGCCCCACCATAAGTGTAAGCCTTCACAGTATCACCATTAACATAAATAGCATACCTACTACTGACACTTTTACACCCACCAAGACCAGCACATTCCATTCCCATTATAAGCACCAAAACATTTAACCAGTGACACACCATCTGTACCTCTCAACACGAGCATATTTATCTCCACTACTACCTGCACTATCATCACCTCCACCACCAGTAACATTTTCAGTACCTCCAAATGCGAGCGGCAGTATCATCTACATCACTATCTTTCCTAACAACACCATCATCACCACCAAGCACCTATGCTCCCCCACCCTTTCCATCCGTTCCTCGGACGAAGGTGCTGTCCCTGGGTTGGCGCAACCGGCGAGTTGCATCCACGTCGATGAACCGCGAGTCGTCGCGCTCGCACGCCGTCTTCACGCTCACGATCCAGTCGAAGGAGAAGCGCAACGGCATGGTGAACATCCGCTCGTCGCAGCTCAACCTTGTGGACCTCGCGGGCTCGGAGCGGCAGCGCGACACGCAGTCGGACGGCATGCGCCTCAAGGTGTGAATCCCGGCACGAGGCCCGCTCCGTCATGCATTTTGACACTCGAGATCGCAAGATGAAAATGTCATCGTGGCCAAAGCCCGTTGATGCCAGCACACCTCACCCAGTGCCTTCTGTCCTCCCGCAGATCCTGCAGCTGCTGCACCGTATCAATCAATCTTTATTTTACGTGCCAATATTGCCCTCAATAAAGCAGGCATCGGTGCACATTACAATGGAATGGGAACGGTACAGGGGGGCATATAGCAACAGGAATTAAAAGAGAAACCCATCATGCCCTCAGCGTCTAACACCGACTGAGCAAAGTAAATTGCAACCGTGCACAAAAATAAGTAGACGCGCATGTCCGCACTACCGTACAGAACGAGACCGCCACAAATAAACAGCCCTTGTATATACGCACCTAGGCAATGCCTTCCATGGTCTGTCCAATATGAGTTTAAAGTTTCATTTGAGAAATTAAAGCCCTTGGTGTACTGAACTGTTGGGTAAATCAAACATGCCTATGATCTCTAACTCTGCAATTATAACTGAGGTAATAGAAATTAATATCTGCGATATAACCCAAAAAAACTACTATGTATGCTGTTTGTTTATTGTCTTTTCAGGAAGCGGGCAGCATCAACCGCTCGCTGAGTTCCCTGGGGAATGTCATCAATGCCCTGGCAGAAATTGCGCACGGAAAAGGGCGGTTCGTTCCCTATAGAGACTCCAAGCTGACTTTCTTGCTCAGGGCAAGTGAACGCTCGCCCTCACTCTGTGATGCTGACAACCTAAAATGACTGCACAGAGGGCACCCCCGAACTCCCCACACGTCCGATACACAGTGATCGTGCGCTAAGATGGCACTTGTTGGCACTTTAGTATAGCAATATACAATATTCAGTGATGTACACTGGTGAATGATATTTAGGTTTCACTCGGTTAAGGGAAAAAAATCCTGTATAAATCCAATAAATTTCAACAATGACTAAAGGACAGAGCTTGTAGTTTCATAGAGCATTGAAGCACCCACCATAATTTCAATGCTGCCAAGACTTTCAAAATTGCACTTTTTTATCAATCACAAGAATCAAATTGGTTTATTCTCAAAAAACATTCTGAGCTTCCACTCCTGGAGATGAATTTCAGGACATTTGATCCCATCAAAGTGGCTTGCCATCACCGAGAACTGAAGACTCAATCCTCCATATCGCTCTTCCATCAGGACTCGCTGGGCGGGAATGCTAAGACCGCGGTCATTGTCAACGTGCACCCGGGCGGACGCTACTTCGGGGAGACGCTGTCCACGCTGCAATTCGCGCGTCGCACAAAACTCATCAAAAACAAGGTGACTGATCTGCCCTCCTTCATGCGGTTGGTTCAGTTGCGTCGGGACCGTTTCCTTTAAATTGTGACACCCGGTCATGCAAGCTGCGTGCTGCATCGGCCTCGCGTTTTGTTACAATAAAAGCTGCTCATCACAGCCTTGCCCGCTCCTCTCACCCTCTGCTGTAAACCGTCCGCTGCACGGCACGTCCCCCTGTGATTAGTTGTGTGCTTCACACAGGCTCACCTCTGCCCCCACCCCCCAGGCAATTGGCTGATGTTTCATTCCGGTTTTTCAAGCTTTCCCACGAAGGTTGAAAACGTTAATGTGTAAGCTTTGTCTCTTCCTCTATAATTTTGGGGCGGGGGAGTGCACGGCACATCTTATAAAGAGGATCTGATATATGTTGAAACTTGCCTGACAAATAGGGTATTTCTGTTAGGGATTGCCCCTTTTGAAAACCGGCCGAATGGATTTCAGGTTTGCCCAAGACTTGAAGACAAACAGCGTTAATAAGAACTCTTTGAAAATATAAAATTAGCATTTGTCCTGACCGCTTTCCCATCGGCTTCTGGACTGCTAATTAAATACTTCCGAAGACAATCACATGTTGGAAAGTCTTACATAATCCATGCGTGCGCATGTTTCCTTTACGTCTACTGGTATTATTTGTCTCTGGAATGTGAATGAGTAAAACAATAAATCAACCTTGAAGCAGAATATAAATCCCATGATCCATCAAGTGCTACATAGCTCGCGAGAGAGGGACTGCAGAACAGATGTAATACGGTATCCTCTTGTTATTTGCAAGGGATACGTTCCAAAGATGCTCGTGAATATCACATTTTGCAGATGATGGTATTGGCCTATGAAAGCCTTGAAATAAATACGTAAATAATCTTTGTTTCTCATCACTTTATTTCATCACATTCTCTCTTCACTTTCTCTCAATGCAGATTCGCGGATAGCCAAAATCGCAGATAGCAAGTTCGTGAATAACGAGGGAATACTGTACAGTGTGTTCTTCTATAACGCATGTTTTCATAATGAAAATTGGATATAACACGATTAATATATTAGGGAACACATTTTTAATAACGCGGATGCCAATTGGATATAACGATTTTGAGTCAACAACTACGTCCCTTTAGTAGGAATAAGTGGACGCACCTCCACCTTGACGAAGCATCACACAAGGCGGGATGCTGCTGGATGCGTCTCGATGCAACTCAAACTTTGTTCAGCCTAAATACGCATCTCACATGTTCTCGTGGACTGTGATTTACCCTGATATTTATTATAACACGATTTTTTCAAAAGTGGTGTTTTTCAGGAACACAACTACCGCTGCATTTTAGGAGAACGGACTCTGAGCTTGTGAACATTACGATGGGGAAGCAGAAGGCTTTATGGTGCGTGTGTGCGCGCGCAGGCGGTGGTGAACGAGGACACGCGGGGGGACCTCTCTCAGCTGCAGGCTGAGATCAAGCGCCTGCGAGAGCAGCTCTCGCTCCACCAGGAGGGCTTGTCCAGCGGTAAACCTCGCGGGAACTGCTCCTGTTTTGTTTAAATTTTATTGATATTTTCAACAGAATGTAAAACCATAACCTACCTACAAAGGGTCAATGTGATGGATATAGGAGCATCGATCTAGACCAAAATAACAAGAATAGACATTTTTATTGAAATTAGTCAAAATAAATAATATTTCAAGAGCCGCAATGCTTGTGAAATACGAGATGGTGGTCCTTAATAACGTCACGAAGCAGTCCTTAAAGAGATGCATGCGGCTCCAAAGCCGCAGATTATAGACCACTGATCTAGGAATCCAATTTTTAATTCAAGGTAAGAAATATAAGCAAAGGAGACTGAGAAGAGAGAGAGTGATGGGCAGCAATGACATGACCAGGTAAAATTATTAAGCCATCAATGGGTCCACACAAGGGGAGCACTTTCCTGTAGACAGCGGGCTCTGCGAGGGATACACTCGATGTTTAAGTACAGACACCTCATGCGTCAGAATCAACCAATGTTCAGGACTGGTCCTGTTTACACCCCATGAGTAACGACGCCCAGTGGAATTCAGTGGAAATGTTTAAAGCTCCGAGAGCCAAGCTTAACACAGGTGTACCACTTAATTTACATTGGTTGTGATGCTGACAAATTCATGGAATTTTGCTTGTAACAATTAATTGTTTCAAAATTCTAATACTGCGAGTCCATCACTGTACAGTAGGTGCCATAGATACTTGCACTTACACCACAAGGGTGCAACAAATGATGTATTCATGAATTCATATTATACCCCTAAATTGTGACAATTGTGGGAAAGAATTAAGTGTTACATCCCTACAAAATAGCCAAGTAATGATCTTTGTCATTTGTGCCCCAGTGTACTCGGATAACCTCATGAATTGTGTGTATTGACCATTGAGGGGAGCGATAGTGTGGCGGTTAGCGTGCTGCGATACAAACCCTGCGAATTCGATCACCAATAACAATGATCTCAACCCGCCATGGGCCACCCCTAGGTCGACTCGGCCTCAAATGAGTACCTGGTGCGGTGTGTTAATATATTCACTGGGGAGACAAAGGCGGCTAGGCATGGTGCTGGCCACCCCACCCCCTCGTGTGCTGTGTGCCATCCTTCATAGGTTTGCTGGCGGACAGCACTTGCCCAAAAGGTCCTGCTTAAGCTTTCCGGGGGATCTTTGTCTTTTATTGACCATTGCAGCGCCATCGTACAATCCAACACCAGCGCCCGAGGGCTACGAGCTACCGCGCGACAGTTGGAGGCAGCACTTCCTGGAGGCCATGCAGTTCCGACAGAGCAGCGAGACCGAAATGAAGGCGAGTGCAAGAAATTCGCAGCACTACTACACCACATTGGGAAGAAATGATGATTCCTTGAATTGTAATTCAAGATAATGTCTATTCATTACACTTATTATGATTCGCTTTATCATAATTCTTCGTTTTATTGGAATTTTGAGATTTTCATTCATATTGCTATTATAAGCCTTCTATTTTGCTTAGATTTATTCTATATTTGTAAGTGTAGTTTTATTTTTATGTAAAGCACTTTGAGATACTTGAATATGAAATGCGCTTTATAAAATAGAGGTTATTATTATTTGATGGAAAATTACTTTTCACTTTGAGGAATTTAAATACACAAAGCTGACCGCATAGGATTATGGGAAAACCTAAAATACCATGCAAGCCGACCATTTGTCCACCCACACACTGTTAACCATAGGTCTTCATAGGTTAATATGCATTTAACTATATATTGATACGTCAATTAAAACAAATTATTAGGATTAGAATACATGCTTGGATGTGTGCATGTGAGAATCGATTATTTGACTATTATGCAACTCATAAACTAATGTTACATTTAAATGAACGATTAACAGAGCAGACAAAACTGAACAAACTAGACAGAGAAAAAACTGCAAAGATCAGAAAAAAATATATTATTAAATTGAATTATTCGTAATCATGGCAATTGATTGATTATTACTGTCAATTTTTTATTTGAACCAGGATGCTTTCCAATTTCTCCCTTGTGAACCCAGGCTCTTCAGGGAAAAATTAAGCACCTGGAGGATCTCTGCGAAAGGAAGGAACGCCGCCTGCAGTCCAACAAGATGATCATTAAGTTCCGCGAGTCCCTCATCGCCCAACTAGAGCGTACGGTCAAAGGGAGCGGCGTCGAGGCAGAGGGCTGCATCAAGTGTCAGAATGAGAACATCGCCAACATCAAGCAAGAGCTGGCACTGTTCAAGGAAATGGTAAGAGGTTATGGGGGTAGTGCATAAGAGGGGCGGCACAGTTGAGGGAATGGCGTTGCCGGGTGAACCAACAATTCAGGACCAGTTTAGATGAAGATGCTCTTAAAATATTCTCAGACCACGCATGAACGAACTTGGTTTTGGGTTTAACACTATACAACGGTGACTGTGTCATTGGTCACAACAGCCTTACTTCAGCGGTTATGGAAACCTCCCCTATTTCAACGTCCGTCTCGCAGGTCGAGCACCACCCGGAGGTCTCCAAGTTTTCTCAGGAAAACCACAACCTGCGAGCCGAGCTGAAGCAGCTGCGGGAGCTGGCGGCGGTACGCACAGGCCAGGAGCTGTCTGAGCGAATTGCCCTGCAGCTCGACCGCGCCTTCGCCGACGCGATGGCACAGCGCAAGAGTGCCGGTAACCGCTGCTGCGTTCACCCCACAGTTTGGCACGCATGAGGTTTGCGCATTTGGTTGAGTTTGATTTTAAAATTTCTGTCGGTTGTTGTCGAAGATTAAACCACGCACAAGAGGTTGTTTTTTTTTTAAAGCACTAAAAATGTCGTGTTTTTCCCAACTGCTTCGGTGGTTGCAGGGCCTACGGATAATCTGCAGCCGACGCCCATCTGCACGGATACCGTAACCTCCGCTGGAATGGACCGCATGAAGGTGGAGCTGCAGAAGATGCAAAACGATGTGGCCTCTGCCCGGCAGGAACTGGAAGAGAACAAGGAGCTCAGCCGGTCGGTGCTGCTTTCCCCACCTACTCATACCCCTTTTGCCTATGGTGCTGTCGTGGTGTATTGGCTAGCACACTGAAGTTTAAATCCAGAGGTCGTCGGTTCGACTTTATTTTCCTATGCGGCAGTTGAAACAGTTGGCGAAGTTTCTCAAATTTCCCGAATTTATGTCCACCGAAAAGGTGTAAACGAGTCTTGATTTGCGTCTTGCCAAATGTTCCTTTCCTTCTGGTTTTAGATTTTAAAAAAATGTGCTCGTATGTCCATTTCTAACCGTAGGTAATATATCAGCACATTTGATAATCCTTTTATTTCATATGAGATGTGAACCTGGCCCATAGTCTAGAAGAAGGAAGAGGTATTGCAACGATAATCTAAAGATAGAGTACTATTCTTCTACATGAATCACCTGATTTAAGTTGCCACATCATGTCCTGTTCTGCTTACATGTTGCTGATTAATTTGGGAACATATTTTCTAATAGTATAATGTTTCGTCTATACGTTTTAAAAAAAAAATCTGCAAAGATTTGTTGCACAATTTTTTTAACAAGAAACGCACGCGGTCTAAATAGACTTTTGTGATGTAAACACCATATTGTATGCGCATAGCGCGTACACACGAATGTCCCTCCACCACGTGCTCAGCGTTCGTCTGCCAGCCTGCCATTTTGCGTGATCGCGTTAGGTGATAGGCTTTTAAAAAAGTAAGAAGGGTTTAGAAATGAGTGTAAAACGCCCCATAAATAATAATGGTGCTTCTGGCAAGAAAAAGCAAAGGGAGAGTGTTCATCTAGAGGTTAAATTCGAACTTTTAAATAGTTTTGAAGCAGGGGAAAGGCAGTCGATATTACCAGAATACTTGGCCTACTCATGATCTCTGAGAACTATTCGAGTTAATGCGGGGAAAACATTTCTTTGGTGTACCCAAGCACAAAGGTGTTTGTGTGTCGTCCATTAGGAAGAAGCAGGGAGAGATGGAGGTTGAACTGCAGTCTCTACGGAAGCAGAACCAGCAGCTGGAGACATTCATTAAGGCCACGCAGACCAGCAAGCTGCAGGAGGTCACCCTCCTCAACAGGGTCCATGCAGAGGCCATTAAGGTACCACCCTTATCTTTGTGCCCTTCTCTTTTTTTGTTTTCATTTCTCCCAATTACATCCCATTTATTATATCTGCGCCGTGTCATGCGACACAGACATTACCATTTGTAACTTGCAGTGCTCCACCTTCTATTGGAGAGTGTCCCTGGGAAGATGATATCACATCTGAAGTGGACGATTAGCGCTGCATGCTTGCCACATTTGCAAATGTGATTTGTAACTTTGATCCTACCCATGTATCAATAGTTCACTTTTTTGTTAATTAGTTGTTTTGTTCCAACGATAGCATTGTGTGGTATGTGTGTCGGATTCCTTTTTTTCAGGGAAGGGAGGGGGAGAGTTAACTTTTAATGTACGATTTCATTAAGGAACTGTGTGTTGTCTTGGTGTGGTCTAGGACTGTTTTCGCAGTTGTTTTATTGCCTTTTTCCCAAGCTTGTGCTAACAATTTGAACTTGTATACCGTACTTTATTTGTATGTATTTATTTAAGGGTTGCCGCTGTGGCATGATGTTATCTTCCCCGCCTGGTTTGCAGGAGATCTGGGGTTCGATCCCAACCCTGACACCTGTATATTTGCAGTATGCATGCCTCTCTCCATGTGGTCGTGTCGATTTTTTCTCTGGGTCCTTCAGTTTTTCCCACCACATTTAGAAACATGCATTCAGATTATTTGGCTGCTATAAATTTACACATGATAAGTCACTTCGTTGAGCTCTCATTTGTGGCCAAGTCGCTTCTGGAAAAGAAGCCAACAGCTCAGTGAGCTGTACCTGGTAAAAAAGTAGTTTAGTTTTATTTGTAAACATTTTTTGTGATTCGCTTATCTTTCCTGTACTTTACACTGCTATAATTGTTTTATATTGTTTGTTGTTGTAACGTTCTGACCCACCCCTACTTTTGAAAAAAAGCTTTATATCTTATCGGATTCTTCCGGTATAAATAAATATTCTGATTTTGATTCTGATTCAACGAAAAGGTCATACGTGGACAACTTTTTTTAATAACGTGAATGGGATCTTTAAGGTCCACCGTGAAGCTCGCATACTTTATGGCTAATGAACTCGCATTGTTAAACAGGGCAGCCACTGGCCTCAAGCTGCGTACCTCTTCAGCAAGCAGCCTACCGCTTAGCCGTGTCATCACCCCCTAAACATTGTATAATCTCACTCTTCAGGTGTTTCTCAGAACTACCGAACAGAACACCGCTGTCACGTTTTTTTTCCCGGATGCTAAACGAAGTGCGTGGGTTGTCGGTGACCTCGCACAGAACCTGACGACGCCGGTGCGAATGGCACTGGCGCGGCGGCTGGACAACTTGTCACGCACCAGCGTGGACGGGAGCCCAGCACTGATGCAGAGAGCCGAAGTGACGGATGACTTCATCTTCAACGAGGTTGAGCCCGAGCAGGTGACGGCGCAGGCGTATGAGGCGATCGCGGATGAGCTGCGCACAATTCAGGTACGTGTATGTATGTGTGTGTGTATGTTCAACTTCTTTCACACCGTACGTAACCAGCTGTGCTGACTGGGGGGGGTGTGTGTTGGCACACTGGCACGCAGATACACAAACGTGCATGTGAACCGTGTGTCTTATTGGAGATGTTTTGAGAGCAATGCCTCGATGTGACCTAAATTGTTACTAATAAGAAAAATGTTGATGTTGTGGAAATCCGCGTCGATGTTGTGGAAATCCGCGTCGATGTTGTGGATGCCATTTTTGAATCGTTTAATCGGTGACATGCTGCTATATGAACAACTAAAATTTGCAAAGGGATTTTGTGATTTTTCAGAGTCTTTCATGTTCAGTTTCACTTGTTTGGAATAAAATAGTGGCTTTTTAGCATGTGGAGTTGTACACTGGGAGCACTGCGAATTTTTGCATTTGTGAATAAGAAGAGTGCGGATTTTCTGAATTTCACCGTTATATAATTGGTATCATTGTGCGAATGGTAAAAAAACCACACCTTAATAATATGTTTATGCGCACAGGAGCAGTCGACTCGGCTTCAGCAGCAGCTGATTGAGGAGGAGACGCGGGTCCTGGGGCTTCAGCAGAATCTGGACAAGGCGGATTTGCAGCGGGCGCAGCACGAGCAGGCAAGGGGGGGCGACACAGCGTCAAGCAGCACGACATCGCACGGCACTAACAACAACAAAACTTTGGAGAATATGCCTCCTTAATATTTAATTCTCAAAACCCATGGAGCTGTGAAATGACAGCATCACAGTCTATGATCCCATCAGAGTGGACCCTAAAGTGTTGTCCCTTCTTGTGGTCGGGTGTTTCCTTGGGAACTGGAGTTTCTTCCCCCATGTTTTCCTGGGATAAATACGGTGGCGTTTGTCTATGCGATCTGAAAAGTGAATTGAACAAAACAAAATGTGGATGGAAACGTAGGCGACTGTCGCACGACACAACAACAACAATATGACAATGTGTTACACAATGCACCGGGTCTTTGTGCAACACAAGGAGATGCTACCCGGCACCCTGTGACCGCTTGCTCCTAATTCTTGCACTCTGTGTCCCTTGTACCCTGTAGCTGCTATTGAATGAGCGGAATAGCTGGGCCCAACGGGAGAAATCCCTCTCCGAGTCTGTCGCGGTCATGGAGAGGAAGATGCAGGAGACCGAGAGCACCAACAGCGGTAAATCTTGCTTCGGAGATGGCGCCTGGATGAGGTTGGAGGATGTATGTATGTTGACTTCTTTGGCACCGTACGTAGCCAACCATGCTAATCAGCGGTGCGAGGGAAGGACAACAAACTAAACGCACAAAATTATCTGCACGAACAACACTCGCAGAGCAGCCCTTACATTTATTAAATCATGTTCAGGCACTTGCTTGTATCGGAGATGTCACATGAGTTCCTGCTCAAATGAGCTCTTCTCCTGTTTACAATTTATTCCACGTTCTTATGGCGGAGGTTAGTCTATCCATAGTACAACCACTGTTGCCTTTCCCAAAAAGTGGTACGATTTTTATCGACCCCAACAGGATGATGGGCCGAGGCAACACCCAACCAGGATTTGAATTTGCAGGCTTTTCAATTGCGAGCCTGCTTGCTTCTACCACTGATCCATCAGGCCGGTTAGAGATTGTCAGCAGCAAGCCAACCGACTGATCGGATTTTGTCTGCGTCCTATCCTCCCCTGCCCGCCTGCCTGCCTGCCTGCCTGCGTGGGTCACATGCAGTGCTGCAGAGCGAGGTGCACGACCTGCGTGTGGTGCTCAAGTCGGCCGATCGTGACCTGGCAGAGGCACGCAAGGAGGTGGCTGAGATTCGGTGCTGGCGTGACGGCGAGGCGGCGCGGCTCGCCAACCAGCTGCTCGACCTGCAGCTGCAGACGGACGTGGCGAGGTAAGTCCCGGAGCAACATCATCATCCTCGTCTAATTAAAAGGAATCCCAGAAATACAAGTGATACAGTAGATCGTGACTTCAAGCTTTCGTGACTGCAGGAATTCATATTCTTTGGGTCTTTCGGTAAAGTCACGTAGATAGAAAAAATAGCAACAATGAAATAATAAAAATGAAGTGAACGAAAAATATATATTTTTAAATATCACGACGTTTCGATCGCAACACAAGCAATCGTCATCAGGAGAAAAAAGAGGGGGAAAGCTGCTGAGGCAGGCTGTTTTAAAAGTTTTAAATGGGTGTGGCCCAAGGGTCATTAATGCAGTGGGCGGGGCTAGTGATGTTAAAGTGAGATATTTGCGTGTAAATGTAAGATCGGAGAGATTAGCATGCTAATGTAAGATCGCAGCGCCGCCGTCACATCGAGGACACGAGCAACGGCGGCTTTGTAAGTGTGAGACAATTAACCTGTTCGAAAACAACTGTCAACATCGGAAGGTAGGATGGAAACATCAAAGCCAGTTATGACTGGTAAATAACGTCTTTCCAATGATTGCTCCGTTTATACCCATCTTCTCAGTTGAAATTGTGTCTGTGTCTATATATCTGGATGGCTTCATGAACAAATCTTTGCTTATAGCCAGTGGGTTTGCAAAGTACCTTCGTTTTGGAGAAATCTATTTTGTGTGAGCCCACCGCATTAAAACAATGATCAGCCACGGCTGAGGTATTGGTCCTACCGTGTTTCAGATCTGCCTTATGTTCATGAACACGGTCCGAGACATGTCGCTTAAATTCCCCAATGTAACTACTGCCGCAGACACAGCTTTGTTTGTAGACGCCGGGGTATTGCATGTCAGGGATCACATCCTTCACAGATGGGATCAGATCACGAATTGTATGTACTGTGTTAAATTGAACCTGGATCTTGTGTTTGCTCATGATTTTGGAAATATTTTTGGTGACCCCTGCTATGTATGACAAGGTGATGGTTTTGATTGGGTCCTCAAATGGTTCTTTCCCAACGGTTGGGGTGATAGCTTTACGAATTGTGTAGTGTGAATATCCATTCATCTTGAGGGCTTGGTGTACGTGTTCCAGTTCACTGGCTAGGTGGTGATGGTTGGAAATACATCATCGAGCTCTATGGTGTAGAGTTTTGATGAGGAAATTCTTCTGGGATGGATGGTGGTGGGAGGCAGGTTTTAGGTCGGCATCCGTATGGGTGGCTTTCCTGTAGACAGTGTCCCATTGAGCCATCAGGTCTCTTTTCGATTAAAACATCCAAGATGGTAACTTGCCATCCTTTTCCACCTCCATGGTGAATTTGATGGCTTGATGTATGGAATTGATGTAGTTGAGGAATTGGCCCAGACCTGGTAGGCCATGTGGCCAGATGACGAACGTGTCAGCTAAGGCCACAATACACAGATTGATCACATGTCCATGCCTGTAGGCAACGCAGTGTTAATCAGGCATTTGTTTCATGTGTATTTGTATGAGCGCTCCGGTGGCGAGATGTTTTATCTGCCTTGCCTGGTATACAAGAGGTCGTGGGTTTGATCCCAACCCTTGACGCCTGTATGTTTCGAGTTTGCATATTCTGCCCGTGGTCACGTAGATTTTCTCCCGGTCCTCCGGTTTTTCCCTCTAAAATTAGAAACATGCGTTCAGAGTATTTGGCTGCTAGATATTTCCACTTCATTGAACTATCATTTGTGGCCAGGTCGCTTCTGAAAAAGAGCTATATAACTCAGTGGGCCTTACCTGGTAAAATATAAATAGTTGGGTATAGTTTAGTTTCGTCGCATCATGCTATACAACGGGATCCTCCTTGTACACTTTTTCAAAAATTTCCCTTGCACGGCATCCATGCTGCGGCTCGCGCCCCAACTGGTAAGGCTTTGACGCGACCCACAAAGGTTGAGAGCGACCACCCTTCTGTGCTTTGTGTGCACGGCTGCTGCCTTCAGGCGCGAGCAACAGAGAGCGCAGGAGGAGAAGATCGCTCTTCAGGACAGCTTGGAGACGCTGCAGGAGGAGCTGCGCTTCAACGAGTACTCCATCGCCGAGTTGCGCGAGAGCCTGCGCCAGGAGCGCGAGCGCAGCGCCCAACTGGACTCCGACGCCGCCGTGAGAATCGCGCGCACACCACACGAGTGCGCGTGTGGACCTCGTAACGATTCATTAATTTAGATGCATCGTTTGCGCTTGCGATAGTGCATCCATTTGCGTGTGTGACGATGGATTACGTCCGGTGTTTCCCTAAAAAACCTCCTACGTCGCCACATTCTCGGAAATTGTTTTGAAGGTGACTGATTGGCAGTGGGAAGGTCGGAAACTTAAATCCCAATTGGGAACGCTGCTGCGGTCCTAGAATAACCGCGCGTGTGCGTGGGCTTGTAACGATGGCGCACTGAGATCCCTGGATGAATGGCGTGGAATTTCCACTTGTGGCTCGGGAGGCTTCAGTAGCGATGAACGCTCCGCATTATAGCTTTGTTTGGATCGAGAAATATGTTATTTTCTATTTAGGATTCATATATTGCCCGTTCCAAGTGACGTAAATCACTTGTTGCTTTCTGACGCCGTGCCTCTTCCTACAGAAACTCATGAAGACGTTGGAATGTCAAGCAGAGAAGAGTAAAAGCCTTTCCCTTCAACTTGAGGACAAGGAAAGCACCCAAAAGTAATGTCCTTCTCTTTCACAAGTTTATGCTATGGCTGTTCAGAATACTGAACATTTATTTCACCCCACGTGCACCTGTATGCTTGCAGACAATTTATTTTACTTCCATCTCCGTCATGACCTTGAATAAACTTTACAAACATGTACATCCTTTTATCAGTCTAATGCTGGAAAAGAGTGCCAGTCATGGGGGGGGGGGGGGGTTTATTTGACCATCCTTCAACACGCTAGTCATTTCAAGTTGGTGAAAGGATGATCCAGGACTGATTCATGTCACTCGACACCAATGTTAGCCATGGTTAGGAATCAAACCATGGTTGTCAAGCTAAAAGCAGAGTGCTCTAACCACCACCACTCCTGTAGAATATGGATATTTAATAAGCACCAGCTTTTCAGTTTGTTATTTTCAAATCAATTATAAGTAGAATTACTCTTCTTGGTTCTTTCGGTAAACTCACGTAGATGGAAAACAAAAAGCAAAATTAAAAGCAAAAGTACTGTTCACGTGTTTAACATTAGTTTCCCTGCAGAAACCAACGTGTTAAATTTTAAGTCACATTAGGCACCTCTTTACACAATAGTCATCGTACACTGCTTTGGTTTCACCAGCGTTAATGGTGCGCCAATGGTGGCTTGTATGTACATTTGCATTTTGCAGAACCGAAACACCCCTTAAGATTGGCGGCCCGTGTTTGAAAGTGCCGGTATTTGAGAATGTGGTCACTTGAACGGATTTGTTTTTTTTACAGGGAGCTCCTCAAAGTTATTGACGACAACTTCCTTCTAAAGCAGCAGTACTCCGAACTGCTGTCTCAGATGGAGCAGCAGGTCAGAGTAATGACGCGTCAAGCACGTGTGTTTTACATCCTTGTGATGCGCTTACTTTGTCCAGCACGTGCACAACACTGACTAGCACACACACACATCCGTGTTGATACCACTGCCTTGGATTACTCACCGTCTGTCACCCCTTGGTATATGAAATGTTCTTTAATAAGAGCTTAGCAGCAGCACATATGTATGTTGAACTTCTTTTGCACTGTACATAGCCAGCTGTGCTAAACATAGGTGCGGGGAAAGCTTCGCGACATGGGATATAACGATTCATCGATTTCTCGATTAAAATTCATTAATCAGCAATGCATTTATCTGAGAATCAATTGAGTCCGATTCATATATGTTGATTTATGGTCATTGGTGACCAGGATAAATAAAACCATCAACTGTCTTAAAACTCCATAAATGGCTGAAACCAAGATGGAGGTGGTCTCTGGTGCTTGCTCCGTGCGCTGACACAACATTTTCCCTCTTCGCAGCACCTGACAATATCTAATTTCCCCCAGTTTGGACAGTTCATGAAATTGGTGAAAAATTACATCCTTGTTTCCCTACTGCTGGCCACGGATGGCCGAAGGGGGATAGCTATTTTAATTAACCCTACCTCCTCTGGTCACTTACCCGCCTGCCGTTGAAGGCAACAGCTGTAGAATTACCATGGATTATCTCCCCTTCACAGAAACTGGAACTCCACAAAGCAGAAGAAGCTCTGAGAGCGAGTACAGCGCAAGTGGAGGACGTCCAGCGCAGCAACAAAGCCTACCAGGTTTGCGAAGCCTGCGCGATGACCCACGAACTTGACGTCTTCAACACTCACTCCACAGCAGTTGACGCGCTTTGGTTTATACTATCCTCCAGGTTGTGGGCTTGTTCAGGAGTTCGGTTAGAACCCCTAAAGGTGCGCGCGGCAGTACGTGGCGAATGCTTCGCAGAAGACATCGCCGAACACGCAGCTCGTGCCGGAACAAAAACGACCCGACCGCGGGCACAACATGGTGCAATTGTCCCTTTTACCGCGGTGTGACCTGTAGGATTCGACGGACCAGCTGATCATCCGTGTGCAGGAAGAGAGGAGCGCCTCAAATGGGCATGCGCAGCGAGTCGCTGAGCTGGAGAACGAGCTGTGTGAGCTGAAGGCACGTTCCGCCCACGCCTGCACTGCGCGCCTAGGAATGTCTGCCCCCTATCGTCCCCCGTATTCTCTATATCTTTTGAGGCTGCCTTGTAGTTGGATGTTTTTGCAGGGCCTTGCCTTGAACATCGTTTAACATATTCTTGGTTCTTTCGGTAAAGTCACGTAGAAGGGAAACAATAAAATAATAAAAATATAAAAAAACAATAAAATTCTCACGACGTTTCGACTGCAACACAAGCAATCATCAGGTGTGCTGTGGTTTTCACACCTGATGATGATTGCTTGTGTTGCAGTCGAAACGTGAGAATTTTATTGTTTTTTATTATTTTATTGCTTCCCTTCCTTGTGACTTTACCGAAAGAACCAAGAATATGAATCCCTGCAGTCACGAAAGCTTTAAATCAAAATCCTTTAACATCTTCAAAAATGTTGATTCTTGGAGGCGTTTCCATTCATAATCACACCAGCTGACCTACTTTATATCCATGGTGGTGAGTTGTTAACTACCTCGTCTGTTACGCAGGAGGTTGTGGGTTCCATCTCAACCCTGACGCCTGTATATTTGGAATTTGCATGTTCTCTCCATGGTAGTGTGGATTTTTCTCCGAGTTTTCCCTCCACGTTTAGAAACGTGTTTAGGTTATTTTAATGCATTAAATTTCCACATAAGCCACTTCGTTGAGCTATCATTTGTGATAGACAGGCACATCTGAAAAAGCGACATTGCTCAGTGGCACTTACCTGATAAATTAAAAAAAATGGTTTCTTTTAGTAACTGGTCACATTGTGTTTACTTGTTCGGGCGTGTTTCATTGTGTCATTTTGTCGTGGCAAGTTATTGCTGTGCTGTGGTTGGGGGGGGGGGGGGCCCGTGAGTTCACGCTCGTTGTGACGTTTGTTGTATTTTGTGCAGGCGACACTGTTGCGCGTGGAGACTTCCCATGTTCAAAGTGTGGAGGCCGAGGCCAAGCTAAAACAGTCCCTGCTTGAGCTAAATGGATGCATGGAGATGAAGAGTACCGCCTATGAAGTAACGGTTCGTAATAATACAGTACACAATCAGAATATTTATTCATCCTGGAGGAATCCGATGAGCTATGAAGCTCTTTCGCAGATGTCCAGTAGACGCGGGTATGAACGTTGCAACAACGGTACAAAAACACGATAGGAGTGCAAAGTACAAGAAAAGTAAACATATCACCCAAACACATACAAATACAACTAAATCATTCCCATCCTACCAGACAAAGCCCATTGAGGTATTAACGTATTGTTCAAAAGCGACATGGCCACAAATGATACCTTAACAAAGTGGCTCATCATTTGGATAATAACATCTTCTGCATGTCTGTGCAGTGGCTTTGCACGTTTTTTAATTGTGTGTGGGCCTGTGTGGTGGGGAGCGGTGGTGTAGCGGTCAGCGCTATGCTGCGCTACAAATCCGGCTACCCGAGTTCGATTCCCGCTCACAGCCAACACCAGTGACGATAATCTGAACCGGTCCTGGGCCTCTCCTAGGTCGACTCGGCCTCAAATGAGTACCTGGTGCCGTGTGTAAACATCGCCACTGGGGTGACGAAGGCGGCTCGGCGTGGTGTTGGCCGCTCACCCCCTCGTGTGCCTTTCCGGCCTTTATAGGTGCTCGCTAACAGCACTTGTCCCGAAAGTCTATTGCAGGCTATAAGGGGGATCTTTGTTTTTGTGAACGCCATGCGCACAGGGGAGAATGGTGGCACTGCGCTCTGTACCCGGCGACCCAAGTTAAATTCCCCATCACTGGCAATAACAGTGGCGAACTTTAAACCGGTCTTGGGCTTCCCCTTAAATGAATACCTAGTGCAGTGTAAATATCAGCCCTGGGGAGACATGCAGCCAAGCATGGTGTTGGCCACCCACCTCCTTGTGTGCCGGCCCTCATAGGTGCTCGCTCACGGCACTTGCCCCAACAGTCTGTTGAAGGATATATGGGGGATCTTTGTCTGGATGCCAACTACTGGCAGCACACAGGTGGCAACATCTGCCATTCGTCTCGGTTAATCCAAAACACCTGGGTCTGTCCTGTGAACCCCTGCCAGCTAGTATTCGACGCTTAATATGGCCTCGGTGTATATCTCGTCTAATGCAAGCGTTGTGTGGCGATGTCGGCGTCGCTAAGTGGTGAATCGTGGTTGTCGTATTTTGGATTGGTTTTTATCCACGCAGTTGGAGATGCTGAGGGACGACCAAGAATCCGTGAAGAACGAGATGAAGAGTCTGACGAAGAACTTTGAGACGCAATCCTGTCTGCTCAGCTCCATTCAGCAGGAGGCGGACGATGCGCGCAAAAACGTGGAGAACTTGCAGGCACAGGTATATGCATGCATGTGATTGAGACGTACTCGGGGTGAAAGCCAAAACCGACCGGACGACTGGCAAGATGAGCGCTCCACTTGCAGTCGGAAGGTGTTGTGACTTCAAATCCCCATCGGGAGTTTACTCAAGAAATTAATCGATCGCTGCTTGGTGGAGAGTCTATATTCTTAATAGCGCAGTGTATCAATAATATTAATGTTACTTCACTGAGTTTAGAGACGCAGGCGGGATCCTCCATTTGGATGTTTGGCCAAATGCAAGTTAAGGGGGAGTGTATTGTGTGTTTTGGAGAAAACTGGGGTACCTGAAGAGAAATCCACACATTTGAGGGATGATGGTCAAAAAGTCCTAAAAGACTGGTTTATGAACCCACTTTAGTATACTGCCCTCTTCTGGCCACCTCACTGCCATGGTTTGTTGAGTTTCACAAATGTATGCTTTCACCAAGCCTTGCTTCAAAAGTGCTGGATTACTCGGGTATCGTTTCTTGCACATTAATTTCTCCCTCCCCCGCACCCCTGCTTAGCACGGTTGACTACATACGGTATGAAAGAAACTCAACATACGTACAAGTGTAAAGACGACGTCGACGGACCTATCTTAAGATGGTTTCTTTATTTAAGGAGCCACGTGCTCGCACTCGAACAGGCGGAGACCCTACTGCAACAACCCCGAGTCTCGCGTGCATCTCCCCTAAATACGGTCCGAGGCCACGCCCCCATTCCCGAACCTTCTCGCTGGCTCGAGACGCTCTCTCAGTCCACGCATTCTGCAAGCTGACTTCCCCTGTCATTACCTCCCCTAGCCACTAGTCCATTCGCACTGTAGATTGACGCTACTGTCATTACACAAGTGTACTGTGTTTCCCCGCTGGTTTAGTTTGCTCTGGCTATGACTTGGCTAAGTGTTTGATCCTTGCTCCAGTTTAACACTCGCAGGTGCTTCTTAATATTTATAGAAACGTGTTAACAACATGCATTCATATCACATTCATGTGATTGCAGTATGACTCTTTGATCATCAAGATCCTCCATGCGCTTGCTCTGACCAACCTCTCACCTCTCGTTTTGTGCCACACCCCCTCCATGCCCCCAATAAACCTTCATCCAATGGGGAGGTTGCTGCTCTAATGCCTGAAATTATCCACCCACTACATTTTTGTCTGACGGTGAATGCTCATCTTTACTTTTCGTCGCGAACCTTCGTCAGCACAACCAATCATTCATGTGAACTTTGGTCATTCTCGCAGCGGCTTTTGGCCAGCCATTGAACACCGTATTGCGTGCTTTCAGGTGCGCTTCTGCGGCCTTCTGGAACACTCTTGCTTCCGATATTAGGAAGCCAGTGGAGCTGTGCACTTTTACATCATCTAGATTGAAAAGGAATTTCTTTAGAGCTGATTTTTACGGTTAGTTTGTTGTCCTTCCCTGCGCCACTGATTAGCACGGTTGGTTACGTACGGTGCGAAAGAAGTTCAACATACAAACATGCAATGTGTCAGACTATGTTGTAGAACAGCGGGGTCCCAACCTATGGGCTGCGGCCTACTAATTAATGCCTCCGCAAGGCTGTGGGGAAGAGGTCCGTGGAACTGTTAGCAGATAATACCATCTTTTGGTAGTGTCTGCCCGTTGCACAACTATATATATTATCAATAAAAATTTATGTTAATAACTTTTTTGGCTTTTAAATTCACATTTTTACAGCACTTTCAGAGTAATGTTAATTTTTTAAAATATGTTAGTAGTGTGTGGCAATACACACAATGTCTGAGGATTGATAGGTCTGGGTGCCCAGCTAGGTCAAGCACCACTATCAACTAAACTATAAGAAAAACTACTTTTTTATTTTACCAGGTAAGGCCCACTGAGCTATATCGTGCTCTTTCAGCAGTGACCTGGCCACAAATGATAGCTCAAAGAAGTGGCTTATCGTTTGGACGTTTAAAGCAGGCAAATACTCTAAACGCACGTTGATTATAAATGTGGAGGGAAAAACCCGAGGACCCAGAGAGCAATCCACGCCACCATGGGGGACCATACAAACTCCAAATATACAGGCGTCATGTTCGGGTGTCGAATCCACGACCTCCTGTGTACCAGTCAAGGTAGTTAACATCTCGCCACCATGACATTTCGCCACTGTCCATAGAGCAGGTGAAGTTGGATGCTTTTCCACTGTAGATTGCATCACGTTGCATGTTATTGTTCTCTGATTAAATCTGATATATTAATGACGAGTTGCGTTCCTGTGATTTAATTATTGCATTTTTGAACAGCTCTCGCACAAGGATGCAGAACTGGCACGACTGCAGGCAGAGCTGGAGGAGAAACTCCAATCCGTCTATCACCCTTCTGATCAGAGCTCACCGGTGCCTCTGGCTTCAGATTCGCAGGTGACGCGCTGTTTTATATTTATCCTCTAATGTGCCCCGACATGCCATGAAACGACTCGCCATGACGGCTAAAAACACAACACCTGTGTGTGTATGTATGTATGCTGAACTTCTTTCGCACCGTACGTTGCCAACCCTGCTAATCGGAGGTGTGAAACTTGCCCCATCGTGACGTGTCAGAAATGCAACACCCTATGTATCCTCGCTGCTGTTAGGATGTGACCACATTTTCCACCAGTTTGAGTTGGTGGTCTCAACAACGATATGGCCACACGTTCAGTTCTTGACCCAGTGGTGTGGATAAGGCTGAGAACATTGTACATTAAATGTGACAATCGTGTGGCATGATGGGAGTTGTGCCTTCTTGTCGCTTGTGAGCAGCAAACCTTATGGTTGTATATTTTTGAGTCCAGCCTACTCACATTCGCCCGTTGACACGATTTGTATCATATTTACAGATACATAGTCTTGGATTTGAATTGTAATGTACCACGTCGTACAAACTAGACTGCAGACGAGACAGAAGAAGGAATAAAATAAACAATTAATCGGATTATGACAATTGATGTTGTCGCGGGAAAAAAGGTGACTCCGTTGCATGCCCTAGCATCGACTTTCCTGTGACCCGCGACCCTCTGATTGCATTTCATTGTCAGATGACGCCATGCTGGAGAAAAACCATGTCGGCGGGATGTCCCGTGCAGAGCCCGGAGCTGGAGGAGTTACACAGCCGCCAGGCCATGCTGTCCGCGCTGGTGCAAGACCTGCAGGCGTCTCACCTCGAGAGCGTTGCCGAGATCGCTCTTCTCAAGGTCTTGCGCTAGATCTCGATCGACATCTCGCTACGGACAGCCCTAAAGCTGGCGGGTATATCGAAGTGCGGACCCGGAAGGCACGTTCCCTGCCACCGTCACGAACAAGCACACGAAAGTGGGCCGCTCGAAGGATTTTTTTTTTTTAGGAGCTCTATGAAAGATCTCTTCTGACGCCCACGGGTTTGCACTGTTCTGTGAGGTTTCCGAATTGATTAATCGTTTTGTGACATGAAGCTGATTGTACAATTTGAGTCAATTGGGGGGGGGGGGGGATTTAACGTAAATGAGCCATTTATATTCTTGGTTCTTTCGGTAAAGTCACGTAGAAGGGAAACAATAAAATAATAAAAATATAAAACAATGAAATTCTCACGACGTTTCGACTGCAACACAAAGCAATCATCATCAGGTGTGAAAACCACAGCAAGAAAATTTGACCAAATATGAGCCATTGTTTGACCAAAAACCATTCTTATGCCAATGACAGGAAAGCAATCAGCCTCTACTAAAACTGTCTTTATGAATAAATATATGTATTGCACGGCCCTTTTGTCAATCCGCTGCCGGATGAAGGGCTCCCTGTGCCATGTTTGTTGAAGGCGTTGTTTTTGGCTACTTCACCATGCAAAGGGCTCCGAATAAATGACTATAGTACTTGGCGAGACCGCTGCTGATTTACTCATCTCCGCAAAGGCTTGGCTAATAAGGGAGAAATGTCACGTGGACAAGTCATTTGTGCAGATCAATTTGTAGGGATACTTTATTGCTCGGTTGGCTACGTATGGTGCGAAAGAAGTTCTACATACAGTTGATCATCGATTATCTGGGGTGCAATTTTCCGGCTTGCAACATTGTCCGGCGGTCTCGGGCGTATCCGGTTGTGTTGAAACAAGAGCTTAGTGCTCATACATCACCCCATGTAGATTTCGGGATGAGAGTGGTAAGTGCGGTACAGTAAATACAATAACTTATGCAGTAGGATATTTATTTTTGTCTATTTGCATATGTTATTTTAAGTAAAGATGTAGTGATTATCTGACGTTTTTGAAAATCCAGCGAACCCTCCCCCCCTGCTCAAGCCGCCGGATAATCGATGATCGACTGTACATACGTACCAGATGAATTCGCAGTAAAAAAACACAACTCGTTGATTGGATGAAGAAACTCGTGCTTTTCCAGAGGAAAACCCACTCACAGTGTTCTATGCTGACGACCGACAACAGGAGCAGCTGGCTGAGAAGGAGATCCTACGTGAGACGCTGGATCTCAAGGAGGGGGAGTGCCGCTTGCTCGCTTCCCAGCTCGACGAGATGCGGCGCGAATACGATGCCAGGCAAGCGCGATTGGCTCGGCGTACACTGCACCCATCTCTTGACAAGCCGTTCCAAAACGCGACACCTGAATTGCGGTGTCTACACCGATGATTGCAAGTGATCGAGTGCGCATGAATCCTGTGGCCTGTTGAGCAGCGGTTCTCAGTGCAGTACCCCGGTACCAGCGGTGGTCCGCGACGGTCCTCCAGGTGGTCCGCGGGGCTGTGATGCAAAGGCAGGTTGATCCGGACAATAATTAGAGTGTTAATACCTTTTTCTTTTGGACACTAATATCTTGTGATATTTAATTTTAAAATGAAGTTTGGTAAACTACCCTGATTAAACTACCGTAACCCTGAGATATAAATTCCCTCTCTAAAAAAAACCTAGCTGCGTAAAAAAGAATGTATCATGTTCTGGCAATATGAATAATTTAATGACTGGTATTTAGAGAGAAGTGAATGCGTTTTGTCACCCAGGGGTGGGGGGGGGGGGCTGGGTGGTCCGTGGAAATATTTACATTGGCTGCGTGGTCCGTGGGCCAAAAAAGTTTGAGAAACATCGATGTAGATGCACGGAGTCTGCCAGTAGAGGCACGGAGGTGGCGCTGCTGAAATCCTGAACGTGAACAGCGGGGTGTTGGTGGTCTTGGCTCATTTCTCTTAATGACGTTATTAAGCGTTTGGATTATACAGCCTCGAATTACACGTAATTCGGTTATGGCGAGCTCTAAAAGCCTTATTCAGGAGATGGGTAGGTACAAAGCGAACCATTATGTCATCTCTACAGCTAATGAGGTTGTGCTATGATTAACCGTGAAATGGCAATTAGTAACGGCTTAAATTTCTGAATTCTTTGATGGTGGGGGCTCTGCTGATCAATATAAAAGTAATTTACCACAAAAAAAACAAATTAAATCCACAAGAAACATTGTGGAAAGTCATGGGACTCGTGAAGCTTAATTCATGAAACCTTTTGGACTAGGATTTACCTAATAGTTTAAAGCGACCTTAAAAGAAGGATCTAATTTGCCTGAAAGTGGATGTGTGCTCCTACTTAATATTATTACCAGCTTCACTATATTAGAGTTTATCGGTAAAGCACAAGTCTTGTACTCTACTTGTTTGGGATTTCTTTAATAATGACAAGTGTTTGTGTGTGTGTGCGGCAGTTTCAATTCATGACCAAGTTTACGTCTTGTATGTATGTTGAACTTCTTTCGCACCGTACGTAACCAACCGTGTTAATCGTAGGTGCGGGGGAAGGACAACAAACTAAATTCAAAGCAGTGTTTAATTTGTCTTGGTGTGCATTGTGTTATTTTGCTTAATCTGGCACACACGTTTTACAGTGGATTGCTTGAAAAGTTGCTCTTCCAATCGGAAGGCCTGCGATCGACGTTCAGTCGCTTTTGGGTTCGCGAGAAGGCTGTCAACTTCCATCCCCCCACAGTCGAGGGCGTTTGCGCACACGTTGTTTCTTAAGCGTTTGCGTCGCATCATTTTGTTGTTGTCGCGTGCGCAGCGAAGAGAAACTGAACTCGACTCTGAAGCTGCTGAGCCAACAGGCAGCGGCGTCGCGCAGGGAGGAGAGCACGGTTGCGCAGCTCGAGGTGCGTGCTGCGTCTTGCGTGTCTGACGCTAAACAAAGAAATGTCACATGGGGTGGGTTGAGCATGGGTGATCGCAGTTGAAGTCCGGCCATGCCACGCAACGCACGACAAACAAAAAATGTAAGCGACATGACATTGTGTTGCACCGGAGCAGAATGTCATTTTAATTCATGCTAATTACACATCAGAGCAGCCCCAAGCTTCATCGGGACAGTCTTCTGGGACTAATGCGCCTATCGTCGTTGGTGTAAAATTTGAGCCATCTTAATTTAGGGCACGGTTAGAACAATTGATTTGTTTTAAATTTCCACTTTAGTCCTGTATCCTGGCCAAGCGTGAGTTCGGCATGAGTGGGTATTGGGGTGACGCGCTTCCCCCTGTCTCCGCAGAATCAGGTTATGGAGAGGACACGGTACCTGCAAGCAGAGTGAGTACAGACGTCGGAATTCTACACTGAAAATAAAATTCCTCTAAAGTTCACCTAGAGCGTGTGGTATCAGGTAACCCACTTAAAGCAATGTAAAATTTCCACCACTGGCTCAGTGGTGTAAATGGATACGTGGCACTGGTCATGTTTAGCTTTGTGTGTCCGAGGCTCGTTTCACATGAAGCACTGCCACCAAACACTCTGTGATTCAAATCCAGAACTTCTGATGAGAAAAAACCCATCGCAATGGGAGACAGTGTCGTGTAGGCTGGAAACCACTAGATGTAACAACACGCAGAGGTGTGATGCTCGCAAACAGCGGGAAGGTGCAACTCCTTGAATACTTTGCATGGATGTCATGTGATCACCACACTGCACATACAATGCTCTCAGCCTAGCATAAGCTACCAGCTCAACAGAGCTGAATGTTTAGCCGCATTATTGTTGTTTAGTCCACCTACTGCCGTTTGTTAGCACACCTTTGCTTGTCATGAAATGAACTGCTCCTTAAAAGTGAGTGGCATGTTTTCCCATTCTTACCACAGGATCGATCAGTTAAATGAGCAGCTGGTGCTTATGGAGGATACGCAATTGGAGTTGTTGCGCGTGCACGTGGCGGAAGAGCAACTTTTTCGTGAGAAGGAGGACATCCGCTCTAGGCTGGAGCAGATGCAGGAAGAGAAGGACAGGCTTGTTCAAGTACGTCATCCTGTGGGGCCTCCTGGAGCAGCGTTCTCCAGCGGCATTTGTTGAAGCTGTTAAACAGCTGGGTGGAAAAATCTCTAGGGCCCATGGGCCCGTGTACAAAGCCACGGTTGTTTCTTTTGGCCTGCAGCCTTGTGTGAGGCCCACCACTTTTTTTATTACTTAGGCAATGTGCGGGCCTGATACATCGCGTGACGCTCGGATACACTGTCAACGTAAGCCAAACCGGTTATGAAAAGCAGGGGATATAAAGATGTGTAACGGGCTTGCTCGCTACCCCAAACCATAAAGGGGAAAGGGTGAGTCCAATATACTTTTATTTAAATGGCTCGCACAAAATATATATTTATCACTTCCACCATCTTAGCCACACTAATCGTGAATGAGAGAGGAATATTTTTAACCTGGCAACTGAGGGGAGAGGGGTTTGGGAGGGTTTGGGGAGGGAGGCAGAGACTAGTGGTTTTGACTGAGGCAGCTGGTATACCAAGGTTGAGAATGACCATTAATCATTAAAAGCAGCGACTAACCATCTAATTAATTTGTCCTACTTTCTGACCGCGAGCAGGAGGTGCAACAGCTGAAAAAGCACAACGAGGAGCTGGCGGTGGAAAATGGCAAGATCTCTGGCCACCAGAACCTGCAGCAGAAGATCCAGTACATGGTCAAGCTGAAGAAGGATTTAACGAAGATGACGGAGGTCTGATCCTCTGAACATTCAGCTGCATCCCACCAATGCCGTAGAACGTTTCACTGTTGTGTATGCAGTTTCGTTTTTAGTGTTTTATTGTTTTCAACCGGTATGGTACATGTCTGGAGAGATTCGGAGCCAACGTCTACTCTGAAACTCCACAGAAGTGACTTAATAATCGAGACTTGACTAGTTCAGTGATGTCACCAAAGTGGCAATAAAGTATTTTGTTCCGTTAGTGACTCTTCGCTACGCATCTCATGAAGCCCACAACCTGTGGCAGCGCAGCGTGGTTACACGTCTGCAACTTGAGAGAGCTCTTGAATTTATTTTGGTTGCATTTTCCTCTGTGTACGCTCATCGCCGCCTCCGCTCCTCTGTGTTTCTCCGCAGGACATGTCCAAGTTGCAGGTGGAGAACACAATGTTGCGCGAGCAGCTGTTGAAGCACGGCACATGCAGGGAGGTGAGGAATGGCGGCAGGTCCATGTCCCCCATTTGAACGGCGCTCCCCTGCGCATGCCGTGGGAATGCAAGGAGAGCCGAGATGGCGTCCTCTTAGCCCGGCGTTTGCACGCAAGGAGGGGGCGGCACGACCGGTGGCGGGGTCTCGAGGTTCCCAGTTTCAGGAGGCAACGGAGGCTCCCTTGCATTTTCACGGTCGGCAGTTGAAACGTGCACCTTTAAAACCTTTAAATCGACAAATGGACGAGACCTGTTACGACGGAAAAAAACCCCGGAGAACTTGAGAAAAACACTCTTAAATTCAACTTCGGCAAATGCTGCTTGAGTCGTAAAAAAGAAACTGCCATGTTGGTAGCCAGTGTGTACAGTGGAGGGGACACCGCTGCGATGTAATAAAATTGCATATGTTGAACTTCTGTCGCACTGTATTTAGCCAAACGTGTTCATCGTAGGTGCGTAATAGATCACACACCCGGCATGCGACAGTTGAAACAGTAGTGCCCTTTTTTTTTAAATCCTCTACAGGAAAAAACGAGAATCATAAAAAAGTTGAAATTTTGATTAGAAAAAAATCAGTTCACAAAAACATTCTTTTAAGTCGGGTAGCACAAACGCCATAGATCCCTGATAAGTATATTTTTTACATATTAATCATTCATATTAAAAAAAAAATGTTCTCACTTGATGACTATCATCTCTTTGAGTGCATGGGAATACTTTTAATATTAAATATATTTTCAATGGGTATATAATTGGGTTAATTACCACAGTAATACACGTAAGTTGTACATATTTTCTCTGCGGTTTATTTTTGATCAGATTATTTTTTTTATTTGGTCTGTATAGATAATGGAATCACACTTGGGATCTTTATTTTATATTTTTGGGGGTTTTTTTCGAGCAGTATTGTCAACTTGAACATTCCAATCCACGTTGCATGTCCTTTGTGGCTGATAACAGAGATGAACACAACTGTGAACAAAATTGCCTTTACCAAAATACACTGAGAATAAAGTAAAATTTGTGATTTACTCATGGCTGTGCTTGGAACATAGGATTTGTATTTTGAACTTCTTTCGCACCGTACATAGCCATCCGTGTTAATCGGAGGTGCGGGGGAAGGACAACAAACTAGACACAAAATAAATTTTCATAATGTTATTTTCTGCCTAAAGATCGTGATTTTTTTTAGGCCTTTGATGCCCCAAGAGGATTTTAAATGGAGATTGATTTGTTTTAGAACATGCATTGGCAACTAGAAATTCATGAATAAATGAGCTTGCATTTTATATACGAGATGTGTTTCCACCATTTGCTACCAAATCTGGTATTTCCTGAATAAATGACCTCCATCCTCGATACTGAACCTCTTTGATTGAACTCGGTGGTGACCGACAGATTCCCAGAAGCTTTTTGCCAGAAGAGTGGCTGCCCCCTTGGTTGTGGGAAAGCGCACAGGTCTCCAACATTTTAGAAATTTTGTTTAACAACACCACCAAACGCTTAAGAATGCTTGTCATAGTATAGGCCCTTAAGAAACAATCTCCAGATAGTGTCTGACATTGTATATACAAGTTTAAGCTGGAAGGAGGCCTGGAGTGCGCATATTTTTTGTTCTTGTATCTGTGTTTAAAAAGTTGTTTTGATTCTTCAAACGCAGCTATTTTTTGGTTTGTTCTTTTGTAAAAAAACAACAATGTTTTCATTATTCTTATTATCCTTGTATTGTCTTTAGTACATTTCTCTTTAAATAAATTCTTGTCCTGGACTAAGGTTACTGCTGTCATCTGTTGTGACGTTACACCATTTTGATATTTGCTATTGAAGGTGTTGTACATTCTATATAGTTTCAGCCCTCTAAGCTTGGCAAAGCCCCAACACATCGAGTTATTCCTCTAGACTAGGCCTGGGACACTTCCCCCCACCCCTTCCTTACCCCACCGCTAGGTGGCTCTCTTGCATTGCTCAAGCTTTTGGTGTGGAGCTAAAAAAAACACGAGCCTTTAATCTACCCGTTGAACTGTGGCCGTGGCCAGTCTGATGTTGAAAGGTTTTGGTGGTGCTTCTGCTGCTGCTTTATTGATTTTGACAAAGAACCGGAGGGGGTACGCATCGTGTAAGTGACCGACCCGTGTACAAAGACAAATATCCCCCGTGTAGCCCTAATAGTTGGTTAGGGCAAGTGCTGTTAGCGAATAGCACCTATGAAGGGCGGCACGGCACACGAGGGGGTGGGGTGGCCAACACCACGTGTGTACGCGATGCCCAGCCTGTGATGTTGGGGAGCAGGAAAGCCCGAGAGGAAACAAGAGTGAGAAGACGGGCGAAGCAAAAGGGAAGAAAGTTGCAGGAAGAGATTGTTCATTTCGGGTGGATGCGGTGGTGGGGGGGGGGGGGGTTAATCAATCGGTCTTTATTTTCTGTGCCAATATCGCCCTCAATAAAGTAGTGCATCGGTGCACATTACAACGGGAACGGTACAAGGGGGGGGGGGGGTATACAGCAACAGGAATGAAAAGAGAAACCTGTCATAACCTCAGCTGCTACCACAGACCGAGCCGAGTACCACGAATTGCACAAAATTTTTAAGCAGCAAATACAGGAAAATTAAGCAAAGGAACAGTTTTAAATGTTTGATTTCATGGGATCGTGTTTTTTGGGTTCTTTGGAATTTTCCAATACCGATCCTCTGCATGCATGGGTGATTAAATGAACGATATCACACTTCATGGAGCCTCCTTTGCCAGTACTAAAATTTGAGACTAGGTTTCCCCTTTTTTCTGGCAACAAAACGGGTGTTAAGATTTTAAACACCAAACTGAGACCTTTTACAAGGAACCATGTCTGTATTAACTACAATGCTTGTGGTCAGAATGCAAACTAAAAAAACATACTCTGATAATAGTGTTTTAAAGAGATGGACCCAATTTCAAAGCAGTATATTTCACGATGGCAACGTCACAATTACACAAAAAGTTACAAACGGTTTAATGAGTTGTCAAGTTTTCCTAACAATTTTATAAATAAATTTTGATTTAAAGCTTTCGTGACTGCAGTAATTCATATTCTTAGTTTTTTCGGTAAAGTCACGTTGAAGAGAAACGTTGACCGTTTGAGTTATGGTCGAAACGTCGTGAGAATTTTTTTATTGTTTTATATATATTTTGTTATTTTGTTGTTTCTCTTCAACGTGACTTTACCGAAAAAACTAAGAATATAATTTTATAAATACTCTATGTGCCCTCCACCTGCTGTACAGACAACATCGAGACGATAGTTGAATTCGTCCCAAACGCCTCTCAAAGTGTCTTCTTCCACTGAAGTTACCGCTTGCCGTGATTCTGTTTTTGAGGTCATCCAGATTAGTCGCTAATGGTGGCACACAAACACGGTCTTTGATGTATCCCCACAAGAGAAAGTCGCAGGGTGTGGTGATGTCTGGTGATCTTGGGGCCCAAGAGTGTAGCGCCAAGTCTTGGGGCCCCGTGCGACCTATCCAACGTTGAGGCAGTGTTGTCTTGCGAATGACTGAGGCTAGGGGCTGTTTGTGCGCTGGGAGAGGCATCGAGCGGTGATCATTTGAAACTCTATGCCCCGCCCTTTCAAGTGATGAGAGTTAAATTCATGGGCGGTTCGTGGTTGCAGAGATGCAGCGATTTCAAATCGGTTCCATCTTTTTGAAACAACTTTCTTTTTAGCCTCGTCTCAAATGCGGTTAGACCAGAGGACGCCAAAAGGCGTACAGCACAAAGACAATGCCACTATCAGAGTAATGAGAACTCTGGGGAGCAGCTACATCATGGGACCTCCTTTGCCAATACCAAAATATGATAATTGGTTTTCCCCTTTTTTGTGGTTAATGCAGACACGATGCCTTGTAAAAGGTTTCAGTTTGGTGTTTTAACATCTTAACACCTGTTTTGTTGCCAGAAAAAAGGGGAAAACCTCTTCTGATATCACACTTGTTAAAATATGTATTTATTTTGTTTTCTTCTACGTTTTGGGAAATGTTTAAAATGTGTTTACTTTGTAAAATATTTTTCGACTCTGCACCTCCCGCACCTCCGATTAGCACTGTGTTGGCTACTACGTACGATGAGAAAGAAGTTCACCATACATACGTACGGGGACGATGGGAGGTGGGGGTCCTCACGGCGCTTAGCAGGTGTGTCCCCATCTCGCTGTCGCCTTATCGTGGGCACCCACCACCCGTCTATCAGCGTTGTGTTTATGGTGGTGTCGGTGAGCATGTGACAAGAACTCTGGGCAATCCGGGCGGCACCCTCCCCGCCCATATCAGTAAATGGTTCACTTGGCGACGCTCGTAATAGGCAGCACCCGTGTGCTCTCAAGAGCACTAGGGGCTGGCAGTTCTCTACTCAATTCTAGATTTGAAGCTTTCGTGACTTTACCCAATAGAACCAACGAGTATAGTTCTCTACTCCTTGCAGAAGTGGTGGCATCGCGTTGGAAAACGGCCCAAATAAAGTCGGAGGTGGCTTGCCAAGCCGGTGGGAGGGAGGGGGCTTAATTACATTTGTTGGCTTTCCAATAAATGAATTGTTTAAGACGGTATCATAGTAACCAATGTGGGATGGTTGAACAAAACAGCCTTTTGTGCCAGTGGCAGCAATTATTGTCGAATCTGGGTGAATCCGGTTTCCTTTTTTATGCAAAAACCCACCGAGGGAGGGAGGTTCATCAAATGTCCCGAGCTGGACCAGCGGAAAGAGAGTTCTTGCGATTCGTTTAAAGCCTTTTGTTCCCATCCTGTTGAAGAATTATTATGAAATATGCACGAGAGAGTTCCTATGACAGCAACCTACTTGCGGCGTCTCGTGTCACTTGCTCTCTCTCTGCAGACGTCGCTCAGCCACGCGGTAATGGTGTTGCATTGTTTGTGTATGAGGAGAGCCACTGGAGCAATGAACTTTTAAATCTAGGTTGAAAACCCATTACTTTAGAACGGCGTTTTGTGGTTAGGGGCTGTTCATAAATGACGTCACGCGATTTTGGACGATTTTTGACTCCCCCCCCCCCCTCTTCGTCACACGACGTCACAAAGTCAGACCCCCCCTTAAATATGACGTCACAAAGCTCTGCCCCCCCCCCCAAAAAAAAACATGCTTCAAATCGCTTTAAACTATTGTCATTGTAGTGCGTATTTAATGTGGCGCTGCACTCTGATGCTGTAGGAGAAAACATTTATTAAAAAGTCTATTTAATTAAGCAGAACGTGTTGTCTATATTTATTTAAAGTTGCGCATTTTGATGTGACGTCACATTTCTCAAACTCTCCCCCACCTCCCTTGTCACACATCGTCACAAATGTCTGACCCCCCCCTCCCCAGTGCGTGACGTCATTTATGGACAGCCCCTTAGTTTGTTCTTCCCCCGTACCTACGATTAGCACGGTTGGCTACGTACGGTGCGAAAGAAGTTCAACACACACACGTAATGTGACCTCCACTGTAGTGTAGGTCACATTACTCGCACGTTACTTGGAGCGAGTGTAACCTACATGGAACCACAGTCCCAATGCCCCGTGTAATATTTAATTAACTTGACCAATGTTTGTATTATCAGACTGCTGATTGAAATTGCGCAAAGGGATCCTGCTGCATTTGGATGCTGTTTTCATTCCAAATTTGCATTGTACCTGTACAATTGTATATATATTTCAAATGCATACGCTCTGCTGATTTGCCACTATACAGCTGTGTGTTATACTGGTAGGAACCTCCTGGTTACACCACCAGCCCACAGGGGATTATTGTGTCCGTCCGTCCGTCGTGCATCCAAAAATGGGAGGGGTGGGGCTGGGTGGAGAGGGTGGGGAGGGGCTGGGTGGGGAGGGAGGGAGGGGAGAGGCTGGGTGGGGTGGGGCTGGGTGGGGAGGGTGGGGCTGGGTGAGGAGGGTCTGGTCACCCCGTGGTGCCCTTATAAAACTCAACGTTTAACCTACTCACGCCGGCTTGTGCCCGTCCTCAGTCGGGCATATTTGCGGAATACACCACGTGGTGCCGCCGTTGACCTTGGCCATTGACCGAGCAACCCAACGTTCCTACCAGCTCCCTCCGCAGGAGAATGTGTTCTATAATTCTGGTGGGGGGGGGGGGGCGGGATCCTACGTCCTTTGCTGATTGTCCTTTAAACTGATTAACGATAAGGCAAAGATCAATCGAATCGACATCGCTGCAAGAGACTCTGGAGCGTCCGAGGGCAGGGCTCGGTCGGCAACCTGCAGCTTCGGAGCCGCATGCCCGGCGGCTCTTGGGAGGAACCGCTGCTGCTGCTGCTGCCTCGTGACCGTTCTTTATGAAGGACCGCGACCGTCTCGTGTTCCGTGTTCGCCACCACAGTGCATTGCGGCTCTTTACATATTGAGTTGGGTTGGGTTTTTTTACCGCATTCATCAACAATACGAGTAATGGCAGAACTCTACGACTCCGGGGAGTGGCCCCGAAGCTTGCCATAACGTAAGAGATTGTGGTGATTTACAGCCAACGTCAGTTTACCGTGGACAATTAGACCCAAGCCGAAACATAACATACAAAAAATTATGTTTAAATATATATTTTTTTATTTGCAATGATAGAATATAGTATTGTCATCAGTATGACATAAGTATACCAAAGTTTGCAGTCGATATCACATTGGGAAGTGGGTTAAAATTGAGTTACACGATTTGAAGATTCGACAACAACAACAGAGTGAGTTAATAGAAAGCGCGTAATTTAATAATAAAAATGCTTTGTGTCGCCTCTT